GCTATCAACATGCGAGACGAGAGTTTTGAATGTCGTTGAGAAACTTGGCCCTGCTCACGCCATACCACGTCTGCCATGCGCTGGAGATCCGTCCGGGGATCCCAGTTGCAGGTTAAAGTTATTCCGATGTTCGATGCTTATTGCACAATCTGTGCAAACTCTCACCAGGGTGGACACGCGAGGACGAAATGGGACATCAACGCCGCAATAAGTGTCTTGGATGGAAATGAGAAATGGAGATTCCAAGGGGAAAAAACAAACGTTGAAATGAACGAAAACGACAAGGCGGCGGCAGCACAACAACAGCAGCATCGAAAACCTTCGACCTCGTAGACTACGGGCACGGCAGAGAACTTGGCCTCGCATCGGGTACAATTCCGCGTCATTCCATTCCGTCACGGTTCGGTCACTGTCTCCTCCTCACAGCTCAAAGTGGACCCTCACCAACCGAAGTTCAATGTGGGATTCAATCCCCTAGTTCCGTATCACGTTGGACGCTGCAGTCAAGTGGGAACATCTGCTCACACTCAAGACTGGACTCGCTCCTTCCAAACCTTTGCCCTACCAATGCGACCACATATTGGCTCCTGTTCCCGCCCAGAGTCGCATGCAAGACAGATCGGGCAACCACAGAGCTTTGCTTTGAGGGTCCCCGGAACAAAACCTTGATTCCATGACACTGGCGCGCATTTCGTTCCTACATCTACCACCCTTTCTATCCTACTTTGATTGTTTTCTGAACCGGGGTACTCGTGCTTGCGAGATGATAGATTATGATCTATCTGACTTCCGCCCCTACCAACTGGCAACGGAACAGTGATGAGGTTGACAATGAGGGTTACGATGGCACGCGAATCATACCGAGATTCAAACTTCCTTCAACGGTGATCTTCCGCGTTGGGAATGGCCACATCCAATTGACTTTGGCTACTCGACTCCCTGCGGAAATTCTCTGGGGCGGAGCTAAATCAAGAACACGCGCTTTTTTATTTTTTATATTGGAGGCTCTTTGCCAGGCTTCCCTGCTCAGACTCCAAGTATGGATCAAGCATCCACCTCCGTCCCACTTTGGCGACTCTGCATCTGCCTCGAGGTTTCGTCATTGTAGTCTGTCGACACCAAAACCTGTGCCTTTTTCTGGTTTGACGGCACCCGGAGAGTCGGAACGGTAGCGCCAAGGGGGGTCCCATTGTTGAGAATGTTTTCCCGTTTGGTTCGCGGGAGGGAAAGATTGCGGGCAGCTCGATCTTCGTAAGCTCACATCCAGTCGACGAGGGGGCGTAGTAGCTCTGCGGCGAATCCTTTGGTCCTTGGATGATGCAGAGAACTACTTGTACATGCACGAGATTCAATGGCAGGTTTTTTTCTGACTTGTCGTGCAGGAATCTTGCAGGACCTGCAGAACACACTCATCAGCTGGTCGTTTAGCTGCATAGCTTTCCCCGGGAGTGGCATAAGGACAGGTTCCGACGCAGGCTTACACCTACTGCGTACTATGGAGTCTGCACAGGCGACCATCGGGACGTCGGCAGACCGGACCACAACTTGGCCTTGTCTCATTGCCTCTCGATTCCTCCCAGTCTCCCCTCCTTCCTAGTCTCCATACCGATTCCCACGTCCTCGTACCGAACCCCGCGGACCAAGAGAGGCTATGATGGTTTCAAGTTTCACGCGGTTAAATGGACTAGCAGGGCAACAGTCCGTGTGGGATTTGTGTGCGCTGGATCCTCTGGTTCGAAGCCCCGAGCGCCATCGAACATCCTCTCATAACCTACCGACCTCCTCCATTGGTCAAGATTCGATGCACACGTTGCATGGCTAGCTTCGAAAAGTCGCGACTCTGCCTGGCATCTGTATGGATGGCGATCCCAACTGGTTCGAGGACCCCTTGTCTGCGGCTATTCTGCACCATGCTTTTCTTTCTTTTTTCTTTTTCCTACGTTTCTCAGATTGAACAAAGGCAGGTGAGATGGAATTTATCGGTCCATCGGAAGCTCACCCCCATCATAAGTTCTCGACTTATATGCCTACTTGGTATCTCTCCGGGCCTGGGCGTCGACCAAGCGACGGAGCAAAACCTCGAAGCAATGTCTTGGCAGCTCCTGCTCGTCGAATTCGCTTCCGGACTTAGTCGGCCGGCCATGTGCTGCATGGCGCAGCTACCTCGATTCTTGTTCGATGAACCGAGGGAAAACACTCAACATTACCCTCCTTGCCTTGCTTTTCTCTTCCCAAACCTTGGAATATATGGGCAACACAATCGAAATCAGGTCATCTGGAAGACCAAGTTAACCTCATCGGGTAGCGCCAATGTGTCTATCTGGCACCAGACGGCTTCGCTTCGTGTTTCTTTCATTGCCGGCTCTAGTTGGAACGGCCGCAAAGGCCGGCGATGCGGTAGCTTCGTTATTTCGAAAAAAGCTCGAAGCCGGCCACGCACTACCGGACATTTGCTAGAGCTTTCGTTCCGGTCCAGCTTAAGGCGCGGCGAGAAGGGTCCTCTACTCTACTCTAGCTTTGGACCCTTGACGGATTCATAATTCCATCAATGTCTTGTGACCATGAGGTTGTTCGTCAAGCTCTCAGTCAACGTTGGGTATTAACATTGGGAAAGAGGCGGTTTGGATCATTCTGTGTCACGACAGCACATGGGTTTGGCCAAGGCTTTGTCAGATCGCCCCCCCGGTTCCCGAATCCCACGATAACAGGGGTCCCCGGGAGCGAGCTTTCCCGAATACGTCCTTCTTGTGCCATGCCGAGTTGCAGATGCAAATGGCGGGACACATTGTCGTAATTCGGCTCTAGTTCCTCTCCTTCTCCCTTTTCGACTTTTGCTGAAAAAGCTCTGGGATGGGGCAGAAAACTTGCGCTAGAGCACCGAATGCCAAGTGGACGAAAGCCCTGCCCGCTAAGACAAGCGCCGCTTCGAATATGGGTGAGTGCGTTGCGGTTGACGAATGGGTGCCGCATGAGGCGTTCGGGTTTGCGGTATGACGGGATGGGATGGGCGAAACTTGGAAGGTTTGCTGGCTAGCCAGACGGAACTAGGAGGTAGGTATTCCCGCATGTTTTTCTTTCATTTTTTGCGCGGAATACAGTAGGTACTCGAGAAAGAAAACATGGCAGTAGTGCGGGTGAGTACCGACACGAGGTTTCGCCGCAAACGTGCGTGCTCAGTGCTTCACAAACCAGCCGCCGGAATTTTGCTTGCCATTATCTTACTTTTTGCAGAAGATGGCTGGCAGGTGACAGTGCCTACTCCGTAACTTGTACGGCATATTGAGGCTCGGCTAGTGGACACCGTAGGCTGGCGGAGGGAAGTCGGAGTCGGGGAGCCTCACAGGAGATCGTCGTCTTGACCTTGCCTTGTCTTGTCACCCCTCTCCCCCCTCCCCAGCTGGATTTGCCAGTGGCGTAAGCGGGGGTGAAGGACGCATTACGGGATATTTGTGTATCCCAAACGACAGTTCGAAAGGCGACATGCTGATTGGACGAGTAACCCTGAACGAAAGAGTGGTTCCCTAGAAGAAGGGCAGAAACATCTTCACCTACGGAGAACTGTGGCATTGCGTCGGTGGGGATGAGGTGGAGGGGTGACTGAGCCTCTCTCTCACCTCACTCGATCTAGGTATCTCGCCCACTGTTGACAACCACCGAGTAGGTATTCGTACGGAGGCGAGCGATACATAGTAGAGAGATGGAAGAAGCGGGGTATGAAATGGAACGTCTGGGCAAGCTAAACTTTTCTGACGTTGGCTAGGACAAGGGCATTGAGAGTCAATAGCCCATCTCGGTCTTGTCTCGAGACATGGCATGCGCATGTTGAAACGACGTGTTCTGCGGTATCACCCAACAACAGCCAGGCAATGGATGTTTGTGACGGGCCTTGCGTCGTGGATCACACAGCATGGGGGAGGACCCCTTCCATTCTGGTTATCTGTAAGAGTGTACCTGCCGGGGAGGATCGATCTCAACGTTGTGTCTCGTGGTGTGTGGTGTGAGGTGGTTGTGTGAGATGATGGCGGTGGTTGTGGTGGTGTGCCGGTTCGGGTAGGATGTTTACTTGTTTTGCTTTTTCTTGTGTGTTGTTGTTTTGGTTTGTTGTCGTTGTCAATGGCTGTCAAGCAACCACAACTCAAAACACAGGCCGGCAGGTGGCCCACCAGCCGCGGGCCCTTGCTCGTGGATGGGTTCCTCTTTTGAGTCTTGAGTCTTACACCCATGTCATCTCGTCACCGTGGGTGGGGGGTTCAACCGGAGGTCAAGACTCAGGTCCCATCCCATCACAACATCAGACCGGTAGCCAGCCAGCTGGGTCGGTCGTCTCTCTCTGGGGCATCATTTCTTCTTTAATCTGTGTTGTCTCGCTCAACCACGCGGCTTTTGCTGATGGTCGCAGCACAAGATCTTGGGATAACAACCAACATGCTGCACGCGCTGTGTATATGTACGCATGTGTACCAGGGTCTTACAGAGATCGCCAGTGGCAGCATCGACACCACGAAAGCGAGATACATATCGCCCCTGGCCGAAGTAATCAGATGAGATGACGAGAGAGAGAGAGGGGGGGGGGGGGGGAAGAAAAGACAAAGGCCCCCCGGCTTGTTGATGCATCGGACCAGCTGAAAGAAGATACCGGGAGGCGGGGAACAGGACGAGGGCCACTTCCTCCGTGCGTAGTGCCGAACTTTATGGGCTCTGTGGCTGTCAGATGGAGTTGCATCGTCTGGTCTTTTCTCTGGAGACCTGTTTTGTTGGCCTGGCTGATCTCCAACACCGATGCTTCAGCTCCATCCCCCGCACACCGTACCACGAAACCCCATTCTTCCGGTACGTGTATGTTGTTCTGCTTGCTCCTCTTCACATGGCCGTCTACCGGTGCCCGATAGCTTAGGGGTTTGCCGTTGGCGACTGGGAGAGACAGAGGAGTGCCTAGACTCATGGCGCCATTTTGGTGATGGTGGTGGAGGTGAAGACGACGGTTGCAGAAGAAAAAGCTGCTAAAAATCGAGCCGGTTCCTGCGAGATCCAAGGCTGTTCCTTGGTTGACTTGATAGGAAACGGTTCGCGGTAAGGTAGGCTTGGGATGCCGGTGTTTACAAGTTTCCTATCGACTTGCTTCACGGTCCCCTCTTTCACCCTGCGACCTGTGGCCCGCGCACGCCAACGGGCATGGAACAGACCGTCTGGACGGTCTTGTGCGCCTACTAGATAGGCACAGGCAAGGACTCCTCTGCTTGTGTGAGATGATGTGGTCATGGTCGTACGGTACCTTTTTTTGTTGAAACCTTTTCCGAGGTCTAGTAGTCCAAGATGGTATTGTATGTCTCGAGATGAGGCAAGTCAACGGCAGGTAGCGGTATGCTGGTGCACATGGGCTGAATGGGCGAACGGCCAACGATAGTAACACAAGGCAAGGGCAAACTTGGCGACGCGAGTAATTATCGACCATCGAGATGAGATGGGAGACAGAAACAGACAGCGTTGTTGCAGGTGTCAGAAGTAAAGCGAGCGTGACTTGACGCTGTGCAAAGGTGGTCGGCGACACGAGCTGAGGATTCATAGGTTATGCTGTGCGCGGTACAATGTCCACAGAGGCAACAAGACAGAAAAGTGTAGAACCTTGACGGGATGGGATGTCGCCGCCATGCGGCCTGTCTGCGAGTTTGATGGTTTGAGCGCAAGGCATCTGTACTCGTCTGTAGGTGTTCCCAACGGGTTCACAGACGGGCCCCATCAGTGCCATCCGCTAGCAATGGTAGGCTGCCGCTGGATGAGCCTGAATTAAAAAGATGGCGAGTAACAGCAAGCAAGCGAGTGCTGCGGCGCTTCCGGGGATCGATACGCCTTGGTTTCTCTCCGAGAGTGAGGGGGCGCTTCTCAGCTCAGGCATGGCCCCTGTAAAGGATGATGTTCCGTCAGCTCTTTGAAAGCGACGGGAGTTGTTGTGGATTTCAGGGTTTGTTGTTACTGTTGCGCGGCTCCCCTTCGGATACACGTACCAATTGGTCTCTCCATGAGTCCATGGCCATCGGCAAGCAACCAGGCGAGAAGTAAGCAGGGTCAGGGAGGTGGTTTTGAAAGTAAAGGTGGTTCAAGTGAGACTTGGTTAATGTTGGCAACTTGACAAGGCGAAAGACTAAAGAGTCCTAGACACGGACAAGCGTTCCGACTTCAACGGACGTGTGTTGAGCAGGGCCACGAGACGGCCTGTGACACTTTTTTTTTTTTTTTTTTTTTTTTTGAGAACTATTACAGGCCCGGTCGAGAACGCCAAAAGGTTGGTATCTGAGGAAGAAAGGAAAGTAGTGCATCCATAAGGTAGGCAGTCAGTCGGGTGCAAGACTGGGGTTCGCTGTTCACTGCTGAAGTGTGCCAAGAACGCGAGATAGCAGGTCTCAGCCGATCTCGCGCTAGGACCGGTGGTGTTCTTTCGGTGTTTCTTCTTCCCACGCACCCACGGCAGCCGGATTTCCCAAGCCTACGTTGGCTCGGCTGGGTTCTGGGATAGCCTCTTTGTGAAGTAGCAGGGGGCTGGCACCGGTGGTCTGGTGGCACTCAAGTGGCGAGGGTACTCTGTGAGCAGTGTAGAGTGCAGGTAGCATTTGTACGGATTAGAGCTGGACTGTTTTGGGTTGTTTGGAGAGGAGGGGCGGGCATGGAAGCAACAAAGAAGCATTGAGGCTTGAAGAGAGGCTGGACTCGAGTCAAGGGTGTTGCAGAGCGGGTTTGTTGAATATTCTGGGTGGCGGCTAGGTATAGTAATGGCATGTCGCAATGCTTCTTTGGGTATCCGTAACCGTACACTTGTTAATTTTTGGATTTGGAGTAGAGAGAATGTGGACGGGAGGATGAGAAGCGGAAGAGAAGCGGAACATGGCGGCTGGTTGGCGCTGCCTCACCATGCTGGAAGTTGCGTAGCGGGCAAGAAGAAGGAGAAGAAGGGGGAGGAGGAGGAACAAACGAGACGAGGACAAAGACAAGCAGCGGTCCGTTGCAGGAAGGATTCCGTCGGGGCAGTTGTAAGTTGTGACCACCAATATGGAGGCTAGGTGAAGCGTGGAAAGGTTTGCTCTTGTGCCAGGCCGTGTGCTCAGTCTGTCTTGTTGGCTGTCGGCTGTTGGCTGTTGCGGTGTGTTATCGACGGGTTGAGCGTGTTATTGCCCAGGTCAGCATGGGCAGGTTGTGACAAAAAGGAAAGAGAGTCGTAGACTACACTACAGACAGGTGCATGGTATTGTGTAAGTGATTAACGGTGGAATTAATTGTCGTATTATGTGTATAACATTGATGGCGGATGGATATTGAGGTACATGAGGCATGTACTGAACAAGGTGTGGAAAGCAAGTAGTTTAGTTTGTATCTATGTAAAAAGCATTGGAAGACTCCGTACCGGCATGCGGTGGGTGATATACATTCATTCTGAGGTACCTTAGGCAGGTTGGAAGGGTGGAAAGCAAGGAACGGTCCAATGGGTGGTGCAGGACATCACAGGCAGGTCCCCTGGGCGCGGCTTGCAGGTCCGTCATTTCAGCAGGGCAGCGACTGGCTAGCGACTGGCTCGGAGGGCTCAGCAGTCATCTCCTGCTGCTCCACGCGTCTACGGCTGGCTACCTTACTGGAAGGAGAGGGCCTCTTGGTGACCCACTCTCCGTCCCAGGTACCTTATGCACCTGCAAACATGGGTAATGCCCTGAGGGTGGATCCGTCTCTCCCTTGTACCTCAAGACACCTCAGCACTTTACAAGTTTACGCAGTAAGGTAACTAACTCACCTTGCTGCGAATAGTTAGCAGCCATCGACGCATCTCTGCTCCTGCGCAAAAGGTACTTTTCCCAGCCTGCCCTGTACCTCCATCTTGAGGTACCTTACCTCCACTTACCTGGCCGTACCGCCTGTACGTACATGGCAGCAGGTACCTTAGCGCAGGCATTGGCCCGCTTGCCATTCCCCATTCCCCCAATACTCCACTTCCTCTCATTCTCCCATCTTTCTCTCTTTCCTGTGTGTCTGTGCCTGCGCATCTGCCATTTCCTGCTTTTGTTTATGAAAAATTACAGTGGAAAAAAACAACCAAAAAAAAACCACAAGAAAAATAAGGCAGACAAGAGGGGAAAAGAAAGGAAAGTTAAGGGAAGGGTAAGAGAGCAGTAAACAACACACAAAAGACAGACCACAACTACAGCAACGCTCTCAAAACACATAATCAAAAAGGAATACAACAACTACTTCGTACGGATACAGACAGAGACAAGCCAAAGAGAAGACTTACTCGGTCGAATCTCTTGTCACCTTGTCTCCCCCCCTCTCCTCGGCTGCCCCCTCCACTTGTCCACCGTCCTGGCAAGCCTTGTCTGGGTCTCCAAATTCCCGATTCCTCCAAGACGATCCACGCCCACCCTGTTCGACCGTCAGGCTTCATTCAACACTAAGAAAGAGAAAGAGAGAGAGAGAGAGGGAAAGAGAGAAATCCCGTCCAGCACTCCAGTCGTCTCCAGCTCAGCTAGCCTGGTTCATCCCGGTCTTATCCTCTCTGGGAACGACAACCCTGCTCCTTCTTCTTATTCTTTTTGTTCTCCATTATCCGTACCGTACCGACCTATCCATCCCACCTCTATACTCGGTTTAGCTGCCAATTCCTCGACTTGTACTCTGCCATAGCACACAGAGACTGCTTTGTGCTCTTCTCTGCTCTGCATTTGCATTTGCATTGCTTTCCCTCACATCGTCCATTCCTCTTTGACCTCTCCCCGAACCTTGGACTTTTAGACCAACCCAGCACCGACCGGCATCAGCACCGACACCTTGACCTGGACCTTGACACCTGGTCCTGGACCTGGACCCGGACTTGGACCTTGACCATCCGAGAGAACGAATGAACCAACTCCCACGGACACCACACACCACACACACCACACACACCTCACCACACCAAAGTCGCCCACCCCGTCCACCCATCCATCCATCCATCCCGTCTCCAATTCCACCCACCTTGCTCTCCTCCTCACCCACTCGAGGAACTCGCCCTCACCTTACCTTAACCTACGTCTACCTACCTACCTGCCTGCCTACCGGGACGGAACCTTACTTCACCTCACCGTGTCCGGGTCTGGCTTGATCTGACCTCTACCGCGTTCATCCCGCTTGCGCGCTTCTTCCTCCTCCTCCCCTTCCTTTCTCTTCGGTCCCCCCAGCATCCTTTTTCCTTTCCATTCGCCTTCTATTGTGGTCTAACGGGGGATTTCCTTGGACCCATTGGCCGTATTAGTTGATCGTCCGAGGGCCAATCCGTCTGTGTGAGATCACGGTCGCTCAACTCGTGTGCGGTTCTTCTTTCGCCCTACCGATACAGCCCTTCCTCTGTCTCGGGCCTCACTCTCGCTGTTCAACTAGACAACTCACCTCACGTCCATCACCAGCTGAACTCGTTCGCCCACGGCCTTGTCTAGGATTCCTTTACTTCGATTCAACCTTGCGCCCCCGTTCTCTCCATCTTCTCTGTCTCTGTCTCTGTCTCTCTCTCTCTCTCTCTCTCTCTCTCTCTCTCTTTCTCTCCCTCTCCTGGAATCCGTCCTTCTCTGCCCGCCGAGACCGCGACACCGACATACACAACCCACGCCCACCTACTGCGAGCCACTCACCAACCCACCCACACCTCAAAACACCAAGACTCGACGCGCATTCCTCACCATACGACCCGAGAAATTGGCCCATATGTCTTGACGATGCTCACCACGTCTCTCGAGAGCATCCACGACTCTTTCGCCCGCATGCCCGTCTTGGGCCTCGTAGCTTGGTTCTCCCGTGTCGAATAAGGCTCTGCAATCATGCAGACCGTTCCCAGTGTAAGTTGGATTGCCTTCATGCTTGCTTACTAGCCTTTGCCATCCACCCCGACAGGCATCCCCCCAACACCTGCTTGGATCACAACCACCGGATACTGTGTTGCGCATGCTTTCTTCTCCCGTAGACACACCAATTCCCGTCCTATATGGGTCTTCCTCATTTCCCATTATACTCCTCCATTCCCATACCTCACATCTCAGCACCGGTGTCCCTGATATCTTGCCCTTCTTTGCCTGGTTCATCCCATCTTTCCTGCTGACTCGTCGCCTCATTAGCTCGTGGGAACTGGCACTGCCGTTGCTGCAGCGGCTGTAGGTCTAGTGTTTGCTCATCCCGACGATTCGAGTTCCACACAGTCTTCTTCCAACAGGAGGATACTAGTCTCAGACCAAGACATTCCTCCGAATCATCGACTGAGCAGCCCTCCCGTCTCCTCCTCGCGGCCCGGCACCAGTTCTGTTGCCCAGTTGCCGACCCTCGACAGCGACGCACGCTACACGGCACTTCCCACCCACTTCTCCTTTACCTCGAACTCGAACTCGAATTCAACCCCGAACGACGCCCCGGCCGAACCCTCTGCGCGCCCCCGCCGTCCTCTCAGCTCCCACTTCAACTTTGCGCCTTCCATATTGCACAGTCGGAGAGCGTCCTACGTGAAGCAGGGAGACCAAGCTGCGCCCTCGGTCAATGAGGATACGAGAGACTCTGTTTCCTCCAGTGGGTCCTGGATGAGACGCCTGTCACTAAGGCCTTTGTCACAACACGGAAGCATCAGGTCTAGTTTGGGTTTCGATAACCAGTCTGTCGCTTTCTCCCACGGTTCCGCCGCTCCGATCCTGTCGCCTACCGGTTCTATTCCTCCGCCGTTGCCTCCGAATAAACTGGTGAAGCGCCCGCCCTCGGCACACCAGAATGGTCCTGTAATGCGACGTCGCTCCAGGACACACCTTCCCAGCCTCCGCCGACCAGCGACGAGCCACCAAAGATCTGCCACTCTGCACCAGATCACTTACGACGGAAATTACATCGAGCCCATTGCAGAACCAAAGTTCTCCTTTGACCAGTACCTCCAGGAAGCAGGAGAAGGCCCCGTGCCACCGCGACCCGAAGGCGATTCGCACTTGCAAAAAACAAAATCAACAACCAAGTGGACCTCTTTTTTCCACAATCGCAGAGCAAATGTCATTGCACGGAGCGTGCCTGACCGTTTAATTGACAGGAGCCCCAGCACCCGATCGGCGACAACAAAACGCATACTTGTACCCGACAGCCAAAAACAGGATATTTATTTGATTAGGAGTGGCATGTTGGGAGACTCGGTCGCGCCCGTTGAAGAAGCCCTGGTTCTTGTCGAGGATCCGCCAGTCGTCGACGACACACCCGAGGAAGTCCACAGTGAGAAGGAAAAGGAAACCGATACAGAAACGCAAGAAGACAACACTCCGTCAACACCAGAAGATACACCGACAAAACGCACACATCGATCGCTTACAATGCATTTCAACTCCCCAAACTGGATGCCAAGGGCGGGCAGCCTTCGACGAACAAAACGCGGGGCGGGATCTAAAGGTGGTGGGAACAAGCGGCATGTGTCTGCGCCTACGACGGCATCCCCCGGCCAGGCGCAAGCGCAAGACAACAACCTTACTGCGCCTGCAGATGAGTCTCAAACGTCGCCAAAGCATCACCCTGCCGCCAGCCTGGACCCCACAACGAATGCGCACCTCAGAACACGCAGTCGCAACTCTTCTTCGCCCTTGCCGCCGCTTTCACGTCTTTCCAGCTTCAACGTCGACGTTTCTAGACTTGGCTCCTCATCGGGAGGCGTAACTCCATCTCCCCGCTCAATACACCCTTCTGGCAGTTCCCAGGGCTCGGCAGCGCTAGCTGCGTACAATCGCAGCGCCACGACGGATCGCAGTTCGACCATGAACAGTTCCGATTTCGATGCTAGATTTATTTCTGGCGACGATTATGATACGGATTTACAGAGCGATACCGTCTTTGACTCGTTGCGAACTGCCGAATCCGACCGCAATCGGGCAGCGGAAACCCCACTCGACCACATGTTTGATGAGTCGCCCCCAAGCACCGCTGGTCACTCCAAGGCCAAGAGGCTGTCCATCCAGGAAATGCTCAGTCACTCATGGGATGCGAATGAGAGAATCATGGAAGAAGACGAAAACATGCCGACACCGGTGCGTGTTCACCATGAACCTAGAATTCGCACCGATTCAGATACCATGGCACCGCGCTACAGCCTGGAACGGCCTTCGAATGAGTACTCGCTCGGCAGCAAGGACCTTGGTCGCCTGTCCATCGAAGACGATTTCGATGAAGATTGGGCACGCGACGAAGACGAAATGGCCTACAGCAACCAGCTCTCGCCTCCTAGCTCGATGAACTCGCGTGGCGTCAGCCCTAATTTGCGCATGGCGCTTGCCAACATTAGTGGTAACGGCAACGCCGATGCAACGCACGACCCTAGCGAGAGGCCGAGAAGTAACATATTTGACTGGAGTGAACCTACCCAAGAGAAACCCGACCTGGGTAGCTCTTTCCGACCCAAGACCGCCTATGGAAAGCAAGAACTCGATCTCAGAGGTGGTCGTGCCGCCATCCGGATGCGACCTTCGGCGATGCACGTCCGTAGCCAGAGTGTGCCAGTGGTCCACGATCCTACAGACAGAGGACCAGTGAATCCCAAATTCGGCACCTGGGGCCTGAGTAGCAAGACTGTCAGCGAGGACTGGGACGACGACTTTGAGTTTGGTGGCAACGAGAGCGAAGACAAGGAAACCGAAAACGCGTTTGCCATGGTCGTTCCCGCCTCCATTCAAGCGTCACAGCCTAGTCTCAAGCAGCATTCTGGTCACATCAGAGAGCTCTCGTTGCTCGTCAACGACCTGAAGCGTTTGTGTCGCCATGGTCGAGATCTGGATATGCTCGGCGGCTCCAACGCCGGTCTCTGGGAGGAAGCCGAGGGCATCATCGCACTCGCGTCACCCGACGAAGATGAGTTGGAGGGCATGGACGTGGACTCGTCTTCCATCATGAGCGGATTCGACGCCGCGTCGCCTGACCCCATCGAGAAGGAAGATCCCTTCGATGAGGTACACGAGATCAACGTTTCCAAAACAGCCGTCATTCGTGAACGCCCCGCTGGTCGTAGACGTTCGGTCTTCTCTCCAGACGACGACATTTTTGGCGGAAACAGCCCCGCTCCCGATGAGCTTCCTCCGCCGCGACCGAGAACGCCGGAGAATAACATCAACATGGGTGGCCACGACGTTACCGATATTGTCAGATCTGTCCTGGACGCCATGCAACAACGATCCGTCTCTGACGCCGCCGCCCGCGATGATAAGTTGCACTTTGGCACCAACAGCCTCAAGGCTCTCGTCAAACGCGCAGGCGATCTCCGGGACATTTTATCAGAGGTTATACGCCGCGCAGACCAACTTACATCGAGCCCTGCCAGGACACCCCGGCAGCATAACGATAGCCCAGCCTTCACACGGGTCTTCACCCCAGATCCGTCCCCGTCCAGCCCGCCAAAGAAGTTGCCTCACAGTAGAAGCGCAAACTCTGCACTTGGCCGTGGATCAGTTGACGCCTCACCGTCGAGCGGCTTACAAAGAATGCAAATGATGACGGTCAGCTGAGATGGGGCAAGAGATGTTGGGTTACAGCATCAGAAGCCTTGATGGCGCGACGGCTTGTCCGTCCTTCTTGGGCTACAACAGCCCTGTACATGTACGAACATTGTTGGTTTTCTTGTCTGCATAGCGACGGGTTTGGGGGGGTTTTAAGTTGGGGGTATTCTTTTTGTCCCTTTTTCTTCACTCGATGCCACATCCGACACAAAAGACAGTCCCGGCACTTCTTTCGACTCGATCGACTCGGCCGAATCGAGCGAGCCGCAATTTTTCTATACTGCGACATCTGTGGCTGGCTGGAAACAAGCCTTGTAGACAGATACATTCGAGCGTCTTCAGCTCGGTTTCCCTAACGGTTCTTTATTATTTTCTTACCAACGAGAGAAGGCTTATGACGACGTAATCATGTACGATTTCGCTAGGCAAGTCCTCAGGCCCAGGTTTAATGGATTACCAGGGCAGGACAAGCACCCTCTGGCGATGGAAGGGGTGGATGACGAATGGGGAATGCGAACGAAGACAAAAAAAAGGGCAAGGAAATGAAAGAGGGAATGGAATTTGGAATCAAGCATCGCACACGACACGTGGTCCACAATTGCGAAGATGGGCCATGTGCCAGAGCAGATATCTACCTCGTTTAGAGACCTAGTAGTACTCTTTCAGCTAGTTCTTGCAGTGGCATTATGCCATAGGGTAGACGAAGAGGAACAAAACAAACAGACAGGATCAGGTCATTGGTCGACCTATTGCTTATATCATGGCTCTTTTTTTTTTTTTTTCATTCTCCTTTTTCGATGTTTCTCGCACACGGTGGTTTCATTGTTTGCCCCCACTACTGCATTTCATGATCACGAGACTACAATAAGTGTATACTTCTCCTCTCGGCCAGGTACACCATGTCTTTCTAACCTGTTCCGGGGAGGCATTTCAACGCCAGGCAACGACGACCCCGCATCGCTCTATTCTCTTTCGCATTCAACCCAGATGGGCGATTCCTTCTTTACACGCGCTCGCAAAACAAAGTTCAGAGGACATAACGACGACAGGAATAGGAACATGGGATTACGACTTGGCTTAAAAATAATGTGAGGGATGAATACCTGGGCTTTTTTTCCAAAATAGGGAAAACAGGGGGTCCGGGTGGGCATCTCTGGGGTGAGTAAGGTCTTGTTGCTTTTCTTATATAAATGATGATGACGATGATGACGGAGCATCGGAGGGATAATGAGCGTTGAGAAGATGGGAGATGTGTAACATGGGTTGAAGTGAATAACATCAAGTTTCTCTGTATATCTTGGGGATCAGATTTCCTCCTTCGTTTTGAATGAACACGGCTGAGAGTAAAGTTGTTGATGTGTGACAGACGAGCTTTCCCCCCGAATGTAGCTCGAGATGTTTACGAGGAGAAGGGTATGAATGGCCCCGCCCCATTCACATCCAAGCTGGCATCCAAAGCTGACATGTCAGAGTTGAAGAATAGATGGCATCTTGCCATCCATGTAGCATACTCTGTTCCTGCCTACTAGCATTTCTTCTTCTGTAGTGCGAGGCCTCCTTCCGACTCTTGAGCAGGTGATATTAGTCTCAAGGGGAAGGGCGCAAGTTATTCTAGGGATAAGGGGGTTTACAGAACAAAACATGGCAACCAGAACACACAGTTCGTCCTGGAAGAAGGGAATTTGATAATACTTGAAGCTTTTTTTTTTTTTTTTTGGCTACTAGAAAAAGAAAACGATACACTGTTTGAGTGTGGGTGTGACTTTGAAAGTCAACGGGGGTAAAAGGAAGGGAATTTCCCACAACCTCGAGAAACAAAAACGCTATGGTAAAGGGACCACTGATTTTCTTCGTACATCGTCAACCGAATTTCTTTCCCTTCATCATCTCTGATCTGTAATCCTAGGGACTTCTTTTCCAGTCTTTGTCCGTCACAACCATTCATCTCTCACCCAAACTGGATAATCAGCTCTTCCTCCACAGACTGTTGAGCAACATCCCCCTCCTCCGCAATCCAGTACCGTCCACCGCCCAAAGGCGTAACGTTCCTGCTCCTCAACTCGGCGCCGTAGATGTCGTTCCACATGGCCTGTCCCGCAAAGCTGACGAGGCCAAACGTGGACGGGTCGGTGCTCGTGGGCCCGTTCTTGGCGCGCTTGATGCGCAGGCGGCGGGATTCAGGGTCCTCGGGCTGCATGGGCGTGGTGTCGTGCGCGTGGCGGCGGGGCTTGGTGGGCGGGATCCACATGATGCCCGTGTCTTTGGGGATCGTGACGACGGGGGCGGCCCAGAGGGGCTTGGTAGAAGGAGCAGCCGGGGCGGTGGCGGCAGCGGCAGCGAAGAAGATTGGGTTTGCGAGGGCGGGGTCGCATACGGTTGTTGTCGTCACGGAGCCTGCGAGGGCCGGGTGAGATGTCGCTGCGTTGAAGGAGGATGAGACGACGGCGCGGTTGAGAGCCTCTGCCCACTCTGACGGGGTGGACGCCTTGCGGACGAGACGAGGGGCGGGGATGGCGCCGATGGCCTCGTGTAGAGCGGCTTCCCACTGCGCTGATGTCGCTGTTGTTCGGCGAAGGGGCTCAGGCTGGGTAGAGGGCTGTGGCTGGGCCGCAGACATTTGGGACTTGAGGGAATCCCACCACGTGGGCTGCTTGACGGGGACGTCGGGGAGCGGCTCAAAGTCCGACACGGCTTCCTCGTCATCGGACCTTGTTGATGCGGTATCCAGGGACGGCGTGGAGCGGCCGGATGAGGCGCGGGAGCTGGGTCTCGCGACGGCGAGGGACATCCAGTCCTCGACGCGGGTCTCTGCCGGCGTGGGGGCCCAGAGGCTGAACGACTCGAGCTGGGGAAGCTCCTCGGACGTCATGCGCGCGGCGGAAGGCATGCCGAGGCCAACGGGGAGAGCAGAGGTTGTCCTGAAGCACGCGCGCTTGTGGCTGGGGTTGAACAGGCCAGTGGGCTCGGTGTAGACGACCGCGGGCCGGGCAGCCCACATGGTCGTCGCCGTCTTATTCTTGCGCTGCTGCGGCTTGCTCCAGAGGGGGGTGTTTGACTTGGCCACCTTTTGCTTCTTCGCGGGTGCGGTCCAGAGAGAAGTGCTGTAGATGACGGCGGGCTCTGGAAGACGCTCGCGGACGCGGGCAGGGGCGCTCATCTTGTCGAGGTAGCTTCCCCAGACGCGGGCATCGGGTTGCGGAAGACCTGTTGAGGTGCGGCGGCTGATGAACTGCTTTGGCTTGGGTGCCCAAAGAAGAGAGACATGTTCCGGCGAGGAGGGGAGCTCCTCGGCGGCGATGGTGATGACCATGGAGTCGTGCTTGGTGTCGTCGTCGCCCTCGGCTGTCTTTTCCTCCTCAGAGTCTTCGTACTCTGATTGAGAGCGCTCAGAGATGTACTCCTCGGCGAAGGACTCTGGGCGGTATGTGATGGGCTGAGGGAGCAGGCTGTTCTTGGATGGCACCTGGTCCGACTGGAGGAGACTGGCGATTTCCCAGAGGGTGGTCTCGTCGAAGCCGTCGTCACTGTCGTCGTCCTCTCCAATATCAGAGACTTCGTCGTCACCTTCTTCCTCGTCGTCGTAGTCGTCAAAGAAGGAAGAGGAGTATTCTTGAGCTTCGAGTTGCTTTGCGCGAGCTTCTAATGCGGCACGTACTGCAGGTCCACCAGTTGACATAGTACCGGGCATAGCCATAAACATATGACTTGGCCCACGCGGTTGGACGGTGGCGGTGTCCGACTTCTCGCCCCAGGGGAACTGGAAGATACCGAGCGTACCTCTCTTATCAGGAAGGGGTTGCGGGCTCTCAAGAATGTCGGGCAACAGTGTGACACGCTTGCTACGTCTTGGTGGACGTTGGGTCAGGGGACGCTGGGGCTGTTGGAAGTTGTCCTTGACGGGCTCAGGGCTCCAAGAAACACGCCAAAGTCCGGAGGTGGGCCGTAGCTTTTTAGCAGCAGTGTGATCGGGCTGCCAAAGTTGCGAGCTCACGATATTTAGGGGATCGGAGACCTTGCGTGTCGCAGGGCGAACGGAGATACCAGGTAAGGTGTCGCTTGGGTGGGAAGTAACTTTAGTCGCGACGCCATGGTTTGCGGGAGGAGCCCAAAGCAGCGGTAGTTCGCGCTCAAAATAAACTGGCGAGTCGGATTTCCACAGACATTCCGGGGGTGCGGGAGCTCGCTCGTTCGGCATGAGCCTCGCGAGTATCTGAGCGTTGACACCGTCACCGCCGTCGGACTCCTCGTCGGTGTCCGGTGGGGTAGGACTGCCCAGCTGCAACGCCGCAGCAGTCGCACTCAAGGGCGCTTTTGAGACAGACAAGAAATTGAGATTTCGTTTTGCCAATAGTTCGGAAGCGTTCTCCATATATTCCATTTGAGCATCCGCAAGTCGCTGTTGCCAGAGACTGGTGCGATTGTTGTTGGTGCCGTCAGAAGAGAGGGAAGAGGCGCTTAGCGTTCCCAGATCTTCAGACGACGACTTGCTCATGCTGCCCATCCGAGCGCGGCGGGAATTGCGTCGGTCTAACGCGATGTTATTGCGCTGGGGGATCTCTTGGAGCGACTCGTCAATCTGGGCAAGGCTTCGCGAATTGACAATTGAAGATTCGTGTTGCGAGTTGCGGACGGAAGTCGTCCCAACTGTCGACATGGAGTCCCGGCTGAGGCCATGCTGCATCTCGTGCCATTGGTTCTCTTGCTGGCCCATTTCGGCCTCCAAAGACTCTAGAAGACGAATCCTCTGTCCCTGGCTCTCGTACGAGTCTCGGCTCGGCTGTTCCAGTTTCTTGAGTTGCGCTTGTATCATCTCGTACGCATGCTGCGGCGACTCCAATGGAGACGGTTCCGCCGCGTGCATCACGATCGCATTCTTCTTGACGGGAGACCTGAGCTGGAGAGCCCTTGGAGGAGGCTGTCTGCGCGACTGCACTGGCTCTTTGCGCTCTGTGAATGTGATGCTCTCATCGCCAATGCGGCGATGCCAGCGAGCGCCTCTGTTTGAGAGGCTCACCTCTGGAAGGTCGACAGGGCTTTCGCGGGCCTCTTGCGGGGCTTCCACGTCTCTCTCGTGCTCAACAGATGCGTCAAGCATGATTGTCATAACCTCCTTGCCGTCATTGTGGCTGATCATAGACAAATCGCGCGGCTGGATCCACGTCGGCTTCGGCATGTGCGTAGCCTCTTGGATGTTCACCGGTGCGACGGGTGAGTGGATGGATCCCCAGTTTGTCGTGGTCTCTTCATCGCGAGTCCTGACCGTCCTCGTCTCGCTGAACTCGGAGAGACTAGGGTTGCGGACCGGAATGACAGGTGATGATTGGCGCTTTGCTCCATCGTATGCTCGCTTGATCTCTGCGGTGTCGTTGACAGGTAACGCAGGAATCCAAGAGTCGTGCTCATCAGGTCTTCCAGTAATGATGGAGGTATCAACGCTGAATTTGGACGTGTTACGGGGCATATCTGGCCTGACTGACTCTTCGATATCGAGAATACTTTGAGTTCGGATGGATGTCTTGGTCGAGCGATCGGACTGCTTGGAGCGGTCCTGGCTGCTTCCCGAATCCCATGCATCTCTTTCGTCGCCGCCCGAAATGCTCGCAGGCTTGAAGGCCAAAGGTACCATGGGCATCTCAGGAACAGGAGTCCTGGGCTGAACGCCTGACTCAGAGTTTCCAAGACCTCCAGGGAAGAAAAGGTCCATCTTCTCGTCGAAAGTCATGCTCTTGGTGTCATTTGGCAGCGCGCGTACAGGATGGTTACCGGCGCTCTTCGGTGGTGGCGGCAAAGGCGGCAGTTGAGTCGGGCTTCCGGGATTCGACAGCAGAATAGATTTCCTGCTCATGATGGAACCACCTGACTTGCTCCTCCTGTGATTGGGGGAGTTCTCCGCTGGGAAGATTTGACGGTCCTTGCCCTGCTGTCTCGGGATCGGGCGAGGTCTATGAACGACGGATCCGGATGACTTGAGCCCTGGCCCAGGAGAGATAAGAGGCGTCTTCGCAGCCTGGCTCGAAGCTCCCTCAATGATGCTTTGCACTGCTGTCGGGTCGTTGTACTGGATCTTGTTCACGAACATGACAGTCTGCTCTTGTTGGACCGCGTCCTTGGGCAAAGGCCTCATAGCCATAGCCCTCGGGTTTGACGGCAAACCACCTGTCGGCCTTCGCTGCAGACTGCTGCCACCGGGCGTCTTGGGCGAAAGAGGCTTTTGCCTGGAAGGACGAATTGTCGGGTCAACAGCGGTCTGGATGGGCCAGGTGGGTGGCAGGTCCGGCTTCTTGGTGGGTGACATCAAGCGAGCGGCGCTCTTGGGCGGAGGCGGAGGGACCAGGCCAAGGGGCGGTGACGCAATCGTAAATTCGGTCGCGGTAGAGGATTTCTGGCTCACGGAACGATCGAGGGTCTTTTGCGTTTTCACGCTCATAGCCCTCTCCACGGTGCGTTGGCTAGCCGATCTTTCTATCGTCTCGAAGGGGCTCAGGGGCCTTTCCGGCCGTTGCGGACGAGGCGGAGAGATGCTGCTGACAGGTGCGGTTTGCGGGGGCGTGGCCGGTCTCTTCTCGTTCTCCAGCTCCTGGAGGGTCTCTGGCATCTGCCTAGGCGATCTGCGTCTGATTTCCTCCACGCCGGGAGAAAGCTGGGCGGACGAAGTCGTTGCGGGAGGGTTCGACATGAGCCCAACCGACCTGAGTTGCTGCGGTTCCGCGGGAGGCGATTTCAGACCGATTTCCTTCCTCTTGCCACTCTGAGCACGCTTGAGAGCCTCTTCCGGAGTAATCGCTGGGGGCTTAGGAGCCGGGCGCTGCGCGTTGAAACTCGAGTTCCTTTGCATCGAGGTCATGTCGTTGCCTCTCTTCTCCCTATCGTTCTTGGCAGCCGTGGCTAGATCGATGGTGGCGATCTTACTCAGTGGATTTTGCTCTCCGCTGTCCTGGAGGATTGGGTTGGAAATGGCGTTCTTGATGTTCGAGCCTGGTCCAATCTTGTCAAAGATACTCCGTCCCTTCATGATGTTAGGCCTTGCGTCCATGCTCCTGCTTTGTCTGGGAGGAGCCGTCTGGGCCCGAATCGGTGGGAAGAGCTGGCCCTGCACGGGAACACCGCCAACACCAGTCGACGCCTGACCCGGGGCGATGCTAGGCATGGTAGGCAGAGCGCCGCCACCTCCACCAAAATCAACAGGCTGGTTGAATGTCGTGACAGTCGTAATCGTGCCTCCTTTGAGGTCCTCATATCGCGACGGCGGATAGTCGGTATCTGAAGTTGAGATGTCTCTGCTGGAGCTGATGTTACGCGGGGACTGGGCATCCGGGTGAACTTCTTGCTTTTGGCGAGGGGGCAGCAAGATTCCGAGATAGCGTGTAAGGATGCCTGGGAAGTGTTAGCAGAATTGGCGCAGCGAGTCGAGGCTTCCCACGTACTGAGAAGGATTGACAGGCCAGTGGCAGGGAGAGCAGTTCTGAAGATCAGCTCAATAGTGTCTATTCCCAGAAGCATTGGGATACTGGTCTACCAAGATTTCACGTGGTCAGTACTATAATATACCAAAGCAATAGCATGCAGAACATACCGCCGTCCAGAGGGCGAGGGCGCCAATGGTCCAGAAGATGGCCTTCTTCACTTGCACGCTCGTGATGCCAATCGAGTTGGCTCTAAAGGCGAGGGCGGCAATCACGGCGAAGTCTGTGACCATGACGATGGCACCGATAGCCAAAAGATCATTCCTGGCAACGCAGACGGTGGCAATCTGAGCCTTCTGGAATCCAACAAAGACGGCGCCCAAAATAAATCGCACGCCGAGGACTGCCTGGTAGACCATGGCGCTCGCCGGCGCTCTCGCGTTCGCGTTGATAGCCCATAGTAGAAACTGCTCGATGGCGAATCGGGCGACTTGATCGAAGATTGTAGTAAAAATTACGGCGACTTGGCATCCGGCAGTCGAGGTTGGATCGAGAGTGAGGCCGGTGAAGTCTATTTGAGCCCACAGGGCGGATGATACAAGGAATGTGATGAGGACCAGCCTCAGGCCGTCCCGAAAGATCTTTGAGCCATGGCCCTTTGCTAAAGGAAAGACGGCGGGGGTCGCGGCTTGGATGACGATTCCACTGTTTGCCAGAATAGTTAGCGCAAATGTTCTCCCTCCGTTTTCACGGTTTCCTCCTCTCTTCCGTTGTCTCCCATGGCCTCGTGATCATTTCCTCCATGCCTCTTCTCCACCTCGAGGCTCCCAGCTTTCCCTATCGTCGACGATGGATGCAGGTGATGACGGGTAACTGACAAGGTAAGGGCCGAGACCAAGGCCTGAACAATTCCTGGAATGAACATTTCGTTTGTCGGGGCCGCGGGCCGGCCGGGGATAGAATCGAAGAAACCCAGTCAATGGGGAATGTTGAAGGAAAGAAAAGTCTTAGTGAAGGAAACGAATCATGGTGAGAATGCCTTCGTACTATGGTAGCATTCCACGATCAAAACAAAACGAACATGACAGGAAAGATGCCCCACGATGTACACGAAGTGGCAGATAGATGGTATGAAGGATGACAGGACGGAGATGTGTGAAGGCGCGCGGTAGGACGAGCAGAGGCGGCTGTTCTCTCGATACTCTTCGGGGACGCACCAGAGTGGAGAGCAAGACGGGGGGCACAGACAAAGAGGGAAGGAGAACAGAGTACGGAGTAGTCGGCAGACAGACAAACCGGGAGGGGGGTGTGTGCAGATTGTCAAGGTCACTTGGGACTCAGGGTAAGGTAGATTTGGATATGGTAATGGTACGGATGGATGGTGGTTCTGCGGTTGCGTCTACGTCTGGGCTGCCGCGCTGGAGCAAGATAGGAACAGCGAGACGTAACGCCAGGGACACACAATGAAGAGAGAGGCACAGAGAATACCAGCAGTACCAGCAGACTGTAGCCTGAGTACGAAGTATCGGGCCTCGTCTCATAGAACGGGCATACTGTGGTAGCCTATTTCCAAGGTTATTCTCGGTATGGGGTCCTGGAGGACCCGGCCAGATGTTACCTCAGCGGATGTTCTAAGCCAATCCCAGGGCCAGAATCGGTTGAAATGATGTCTGGTCCTTTGGAGAGTTGAGGTGCAAAAATGTGATACTTGGAAAAAGGGACGGATTCCACAGTAAACTCGACAGAGCAGTGTAGGAGGGAAGAGGGTCTCAAACCGGCCGTGGGCAGGGTGCTGTGTGAGATCTCTCGATACGTCGTTCATGCCGGCATTGATCAGGGGCGATGATTGGGCTGGCGGCAAGGCTGACAAGGGTTGGAACCTTGTTCTATCCACCTCGACGCCGTGGCGTGCGTCGACTCTGTTTCAGCGTCGAAACCCACGATGTTCGGGATGGAGGGGTCCAGGGCCGGCCAGAGGCCCCATTCCATTCCAGCCGTCTTGACTTTTTTTCTTTTTCTGGTCTTTGGGTCTGGTCTGTCTGGCCGGTCTCTTCTCATCTATGGCAATTCGCCTCTTGTTCTTTGGTTATTCTTGTCATCGGAACAGGAACGTCAGACCTTTTTTTTGTGGGCTTCTTCTCAACCAGTCTGGAACGACTTGGACTCGCAATAGTTGGAAACAACGTAGAAGAGCAGCGCAGACCTTGGCAACACTAGTTGTGCCCTGCTGTCATCGTCCAATGGAGTGGCGATGGCTAGTTGAGGCTCAACTTTGGGGCTAATTGACCCGCAGACCTGCAACGGCGCTTCGTCGAACAATGGTCCAGTACTCCGTACCGACGTGACATTCTGAAGACTGGAGAGAGAGGATAGACTCGGCCAATTGCTGGCCGTACATAGCAACAGACGCAGCCTGCCCTTGCTGTTTGACAACTGACGTCTAACTTTGACGCTGGCCTCGCCATGAGGGAGGGGAAAAGAAGGTACTGAGGTGCATTCCTCGCATCAGGAACCTGCGCTTAGCAAAAGGGAAACTGGGAATAGAACGTTGATTCGACGCAACGGCGATCCCCTGTGCAGCGTACCTCCCTTGGAGCTGCATATGTCCTGGAGCTCCTGGTTGATCGAAACATGAGGATTCGAACGCCTACTCTCTGAAGGGCAATCGTCTTTGACGGAGCGATCCTCGGTCATGAACTAGGTGACATGTGTTTCCACCATGCGGCAAGGCACCTCGTCCTCATCCTTGTCCTCGCACTCTCTCGTTCCATTGACGAGAGCAGCCGTAGGCATTCCTGCAGCGAGCAATCCAGCCGAGCAACGGGAGAATAAGGTGAGGTAAGGGAAAGCCAGCCGTAGTCCAGGGAATCGGATGGCGGATACAAGGAAGAAGCCGGTGGCGCCAGGGGCAGGTCTGCAGCCGCTCAGACTGTGAGTTAAGGTGGTGGACTGAAGAGAAAAGGGCTGAGGTGTCTGTCTGTGTCTGTGTGAGGATAGTGTGCCCAAGAATAGTGTGTTGAAGAAGACGAGGGTCATGAGGATGGATGGTGGTGGCGGTGGTGGGTGGGAGAAGAATGGGAGATTCCCAGTGTCCCCTGAGATTTGTCAGGGGCTTCGATGTTTCTTGGCGCACCCTCTACAGTGGAGACACCTGACGAGGGTTTCCCTGTGACGGCGGAGGGCTGCCCACGAGGGCTAGACTACTTCGAAGAGTGATTCTCATTTCACCTCAGTGATTCCATCTCTGAGAATTATTCTCTAAAATTGCGTGCTACAGAGACCGAGAGCACCAGCTGATTCGTAAAGGTCGGATGGTCCAAAAGGCTAATCAATCAAGCTTTGGCCGCCCAGCTGTCTTGCGTTTCGGCTGCTACCGAATCCGATCAGCCGCTCAACTTCTCCTACACTAGGTACCATCATCATCACCAACCAAGAATCACACTGTCTGTGGTCACTGGTGTGATACCTCCATCGAGACACCAAGACTTCAAGACTCTTTGACTCTTGCGCGGGTATGCGGGAGGCGGCGCAGGTACGCACCGGCGGCACTGGCAAGTAACGCAACGCAAGACTTGTTTCTACCGCCTCTGCATGCGCCTTTGTTTCCTAACTTTCCTTCCACTCGGTTCCTTCCCTCTGTGCGTTTGCTGTCAAATACTCTGCAGTAGCCTTCTTTTCTCTAACGATGATGCCCGTGGGCGTCCCGGAAGATATCACTACCGACATGCCGCCGTTGAGGCGAAGTTATGGAATGGCCTACAGTCGCTCTATGATGACAACACAAAAGACCTTCGCAGCAGCCTCGGCTTGGGGAGAGAATACCACAAAGACAAGTGAAGCATGAGGGATAAGCAGAACAGCTTCTGCAGGTCGACGGCGCAAGGCACGAACAAGATTGCTTCGACGATGGCTCACTCATTACTTCCAACTCTCGAGGACTCGGGGACACACCAAAGCACAACAAATAGCCTTCAGGTCCTGAGCTTGTCCCGTCTGATGGCGCCAGGAGACGAACGCGATCGGCGTCCATCATTCTTACCCCGCCCTCAACTCTAACGTTGTTGTTTTTTTTTTTTTTTTTTTCATTTACACCTACATACAGATGATGGTAAACTTTGCAGTCTCAGGCATCGGCAGTAATCCAAGGTTTGGGACAAACGTCCCCTGGGAAAGAAATAACCTTCGCCGATTTGAGACCTGGGGGCGGGGGGTGAGGATCAGGCTCGCAAGTCTCAAGTCCGTCGGGCCTTGATCAATAGGCATCAGTCAAGTTTCTTCTTCCCAACGGCCTTTTCAGGCTTGGGCGCTGACTCAAGGCGATTGATGAGCCATGCTTCCAGGTTGACTGACACTAAGACGCCCAAATAATGACGGGATTGTCGGCCGCGGGAAGATTCCACCGTAGAACCGTAGAGCCGTGAACCGTGATCCGCATCGGCCAGAGTAGAGCCGGGGACGCGCCTCCACACCTTATCCGGTAACTCCGCCCTCTCCCGCCGCTTCGTCCACAGACAACGACTGCAATGGTAATCACTGAAGACAAGCATTTCTTAGCACATAGAACCTGCATGGCCGCTAGCTCCTTCGCGCAAACATCACTGGTCAATGACAGCGGGAGCCTGACATACTGTTGCGGGATGGACCTACTCAATCCAGTCTGGCGTGAGACCGTATCATGCCGCTTGCCGTGCCGCTAGCCTCATTCCCCCCTCCTCCCGCCATCACCTCACTCCGCATGCCTTCTCATCCTTTCGGAGCCGGGCCCGAAAGGTACAACAGACCTCACCCGGCCCGGTCCGCCCAAGATGAGTCAATAAGTCTACGCGGGATGACGGGCGTAAACGGCGTATATTTTCTTCGTCGTGTCATTGGATGGGCGTTTCTCATTATCAAATTGGGGAATGGTGTTCACTATACAAAGGGAGACAGATAGACGACCTCAAATAGAATAATCAAGAGCGTCAACAAACATTCTCACAGCACCAACGTGCCAATACCATCAAATAATCTCAAACAACATCCAACCATGCCTCGCACTGAACTCGAATACCCAAAGGAGCCATATGGCACCGTCAAACGATATAGCCCGCGTGGTATGCCTCACCCTCACTCTCACACCTTGTCTTATCCTTATATCAAGTCTTCGCAGAACAATCAGACTAACACCCTTCACAGCATCCTACGCCCTCCGCACAATCCACACGATAATAAACACAAGCCCAATCCTCCACGTCTCCTTCAACGACCCTTCCCCTTCCTCCTCCCCCTTCCCCACAATCCTCCCCATGCTCGGCCAAATGGGCTCCTTCGCCCGCCCCTCAGCCGACGAAGGCGACGTCCTAGACCTCTACCTCCACGGCTACGTCTCCTCCCGCCTCATCAACATCTCCCGTCAACCCTCCTCCTCTTCCACACCAGATGCACCCCCTCCCCCTCCAGGCCTCCCCGTCTGCATAGCAGCATCCCACCTGGACGGCCTAGTCCTAGCCCTCACCCCCAACGCCCACAGCTACAACTACCGCTCCGCAATCCTCTACGGCCACGCCACCCTCGTCTCCGACCCGTCAGAGCGGCTCTACGCGATGCAACTCATCACAGACGGCGTCGTGCCAGGTCGCTGGGCCGCCACCCGCGTGCCGCCCAACAAGGGCGAGATGGCGTCCACGAGCGTGCTTAAAGTGCGCATCGCGACGGGGAGCGCCAAGATCCGGCAAGGTCCGCCGGGTGATGACAAGGGGGATAAAGAGGATGGGGAGGTTACGGGACGGGTGTGGACTGGGGTTGTGCCGGTGTATCAGGTTCTCGGAGAGCCTGTTGCGGGGCCGTATAATGAGGTGAAGGAGGTTCCTGGGTATTTGGGGGAGTATGTGAGGGAGACGAATGGTATGACGAGAGAGGCGGCTTTTGAGGCTGCGAAGAAGGTTGTTGTGAAGAAGGGTGGTGAGGGTGAGTGAGTGAGTGCCGCTGAGATCAATGATGAATTATTTTGGGTGACGCAAGGGATTTGGAGGTATATTAACCAGAACATTGAAAGGAGACCAAGGGAAACCACAAGGGAGCATAATGTCGACAGCGGTATATTTTACAATATGAAAATACAGCCTCATGTGAATAAGCTTGCTTCAGATGCGTAGAAATAGCTCATCACAATATAATTACACAATGTCGGGGTACCGTATATACAGAGAGCAAGCACTCCTTGGTCTCCAACGAAGAGAAAAAAGATTGGCTCTTCATTCTAACCTCGATCCAGACTTTTGGCGGAAATAACCATCCGTTCCTCCCCCTTCAACAGGAACAGAACTCACCACAACTCCCAAATCTTATCCGGCAACACAACCCTCATCACCTCCCAATGGCCCAACGCGCTCTTCTCGTGCCACTTAGTCAGCTGCTCGGTACTATTATCCCTCAAGATGCCATAGTCCCCCTGCAAAAAGTGCTTGGGAAACACCTCGTGCGCCGGCATCAGGAACGCGCGGCGGGTGCGGCTGCCCAAGAAGTCGTCGTCCACGGGCGCTCTGAACTTGAGCTTGCCCGACGTCTTTTTGCAAAAGATGACCATGTTCGTAAAGTCCTGGCCCTCCTCTTCGAGCTTCTCCGGAGTCGGGTGCTCCGACTCGCGGAAGATGCGGCAGGAGGGGAAGACTTGTCTGATTGTGTCGACGATGAGTTTGGGGGCCGGGTGGAGGAAGTCGCCGGCGTAGTTCTGTGGGTTGAGTATAAGTATTTTATGATTCTCGTGGAAGAGATGTTGACTTACAATTGCAATGGCGCCGTCTGGCTTGAGAAGCGAGTTGAGGCCCTGGAGGAACTCGAGGGTGAAGAGGGGCACGGGCTCGGCGCCTCCGGTGAAGACGTCGTGGACAATGTAGTCGAATCGCGCGTCCGGATCGTCGACGAGCTTGCGCGTGTAGCTTACCGCGTCGGCGATGACCGGGGTGTGGTTGGACGGCAGCTGGAAGTACTTTGAGGCGAACTCGTGCACGACGGGGTCAATCTCGACAATCGTCGTGTCAACACCGTGAGCGACCAACGCCGCGGGCGTGGTGCCGATACCGAGACCGCTAGCGATCGTTAGTACATGTTCCATAAGTTGCGCTTTCTGAAATGACTACAACTCACATGTTTAGAGCCTTGGCCTCGGAGTCGGGAACGGCCTTGGTGGTCTTGACGAGCCGAACGGCCTCCAACATGACAAACACACCATAAATGGGCTCCGCGACGCGAGGACCCTTGTGCTTCACCCACTCACCACCGAGCAACGAGTGATCACACCTCATAACACGATACCCATGCTTAATACTCTCCAGCACGGAGACGTACCCAGTGATAGACTCCTTACGATCCAACAGGAACCAGTTATCCGCCTGCAACGTGGTGTTGAGCGAAGCCGCAGCCATGGGCGTCAGGGCATGCGGGTTCAACAACGCCGTGTGCAGGACGGCCGGGATAGCAAACAGCAGCAGCTTGGACGGGGCGTAGACGGCGTAGGCGGCACCCAACAACGCCTCGAGGCCGATCCTCGTCTGGAAGAAGGACCGGCCGATGTAGGTCTGCAGATAGTCGCCCGACACCGTCTCCACGAACCGGAAGAGGCCCCACGAGCCCAACCCGGGCGCCGCGTCGGCGACGAACTTGGGTAGCTTGGAGAGGCTCACCTTTTCCATCTCCGTCGCGACGCAGCTCACCGAGATGAGGATGAGAGGGAACAGCGTAACGGCCTCCATGACCAAGGGGCCCCAGTACGCCGTCAGCAGAGCGCTCGTCTGGTACAGGTAGTACTGGATCGCGGGGACGCAGAGGGCGACGACGGGAAGCAGGGTGGCCGGGTTGAAGGGCAGGGTGCGGTTGAGGACGACGTTGCCGGCCCAGCCAAAGAAGCAGGCGACCATGACGAGCTTGGCGTGGTAGATTGAGGAGGGGATGGAGCCGTAGACGGGCGACATGGCCAGCTGGGAGACGTTGCTGTAGGTTGCGGCGAGGGCGATGAGGATGGTGGCTTTGAGGTATGCCGAGGCCTGCTGCTTGTAGAATCTGCCCCTGGTCTGGCCTTTTGCCTTTGCTGCGAGGCTCTTGAGCTCCTTTTCGAACCGTTCGGGTGTGAAGCCCTCCGGGGCGGCCTCTATCTTGACCGTCGACTTTGGCGGCATCGTGATGGTTGTGTTCAGTACCGCTGGGTAAGAGGGTGAGGTTGTTGTGTGGTGAGACGGAGCTGAGTGAGTGAGCGAGTGAGTGACGATGAATATAATTTGAATATACAAGTATGAATTAACAAACGCGGAGGATGAGCGCCCGGAAAGCTCTCCAAGCGAATCAGTCAAGTGGGTAAAATATGGAATAAAAGGTATGGGGTATGTGTCAGGCAATTCAACAGCCTGCTGTCGAAGATCTCTGGTCTTCCTCTCTCTCGCGCGCGAGCGTGGTTTCTCTTGAGCTCAGACTTCTTCAAGACACATCACTTGTGATGCGACACAACGCTGTGGGCAGGAAGGGGGGTTTTGTCTGGTGCTCTTTTGCTGCCGTTTTGAAACGTCTCCTTATTAAGGTAGCTCCCTCCTTGAAATCAATTCTGGGGCCACTTGTGTGGCGCGAGCTGTGAGCTGTGAGCTTCATGTGGCTGATTAAGTGATTGGACATGTGGCGGTGCACTGCTCACTCTTCCTCCTCGCTCAGTCACTTCTTTCACCTTGGGTATTCTTCACACCTCACTTTTATACTACCACACATTTTATTTCAACAAAACATTTAACATCACGAGTAGACTCAAAATTTGTATCTCATTGAGAAATGTCTCATTATGTAGCTATTGTGACGGGATAGAGAGCCTCTAGACTCATTCTATACAAGATGCCATCGTTGCCCTGCGGAATGGCCCCTAATGACCAAACCCCCTTTTTAGTTGCAAGAAAATCAGTGAAAATCAAACGCTAGGTATGAGGGATGGTCACAGAGCTGAAGCTGCGCTGCGCCATACAGGATGCCATCGTTGCCCTGCGGCCTGGCTCTATTCGCCAGACCCCCCGAATTTGTTTCTTGTGCCCAAATGCACAGGATAGCCATAAACGTGACTATGCAGGATGCCATCGTTGCCCTGCGGACCGACCTTCGTCCCTGGCCGGACCCCATTGATCCTCATAAGTCGGTAACAAAAGATGGCCGGCGGCTTACCGTACCATGCAGGATGCCATCGTTTCCCTGCTGACGAGCATTTATACACTCTGCTCGACCCCTTGAACCTGAGAGTCGTAAAAAAAACTCATTTCTTTAAATCTTCTCGCCCTCAATAATGGGCTTGGCCTCGTCGCTGGTCCACCAGCTGATGCCCTGCTTGCCGGGGTAGCTGTACTGGTCCATGCTGTCGGCCTTCATCTCGACACTGTAGCCGGGCTCGGTGGGCGTCTGGTAGTACCCGTCCTTGATGACGGAGGGGTTGAGGAAGTGCTCGTGCAGGTGGTCGACGTACTCGAGCACGGAGAGCTTGCCGCTGACGACGACGTAGTCGATGGTGCTCAGGTGCTGGGTGTACTCGGGCAGGCCGACACCGCCCGAGTGAGGAACGATGGGGACGTTGAACTTCTTGGCCATGAGGAGGACGGCGAGGACTTCGTTGACGCCACCCATGCGGCAGGCGTCGATCTGGCAAATGTCGATGGCGCCCGACATGAGGAGCTGCTTGAAGATGACGCGGTTCTGGCACATCTCGCCGGTGGCGACGCCGATGCCGTAGGGCTTGAGGGCCTCGCGGATGGCCTTGTGGCCGAGGATGTCGTCGGGGGAGGTGGGCTCCTCGATGAACCAGGGCTTGAACTCCTTGAGCTGCTTCATGTACTCGATGGCTTCGGGCACGGACCAGACCTGGTTGGCGTCGACCATGAGGATGTTGCCGCTGTCGTAGCCAATGACCTCGCGGGCGATGCTCAGGCGCCTCTTGTCCTGCTCGACGCTGCTGCCGACCTTGAGCTTGAAGTGGCGGTATCCCTTGCCGAGGGTCTCCTGGAGGAGACCCTTCATCTTGTCCTCGCCGTAGCCGAGCCAGCCGGCGCTGGTGGTGTAGGCCGGGACGGCGCGGCTGTTCTCGGCGTCCTTGATGCGCTGGGCCTTTGTGGGCTCCTGCTCCTTGAGGAGCTGGATGGCCTCCTCGGGGGTGATGGCGTCGGTGATGTAACGGAAGTCAATGCAGGCGACAAACTCCTCCGGAGACATGTCGGCGACGATGCGCCAGACGGGCTTGCCGAGGACCTTGGCCCACAGATCCCAGATGGCATTGACGACGGAGCCGAGGGCCAGGTGGATGACACCCTTCTCGGGACCGATCCATCTCAGCTGGCTGTCGTTGACGAGGTATCTCCAGGTCTGGCCCCAATTTGAGACCAGGTCTGACAGCTTCTTGCCCTTGATTCTCTCGACCAGGTAGTCGATCGCCTTGCAGACAATATCGTTTCCTCGGCCGATTGTGAAGGTCTAGAAAGGAAGAGAGGGGTGAGCGACGTTGCGAGATTAGCTACGTAGGGAATTGGGGGAAGTATACCATGCCGTGTCCAGAGTACTTGGAGTCGGTCTCGAGAATGCAGTAGGCGGCAGAGTAGTCACCAGCAGCGTTCATGGCATCAGAACCGGTCTTGTCCAGGGACGTGGGGAAGCGCACATCGCGCGTCTGCCATCCGGTGATGGTGATATCGAGACTCATGGTGGGCAATTGACTGAGAACGAGAACAATAGACAATTAGAGAGAAACACGGACCGTGATTCTTGGAGGAATGACTGTGGACGGCAAGGAGAATGGAGGAGAGAAGAGTAGAGGAAATTGCTACATCACACAGCAACAGCAGAGAGATTTGAGACCTTTATAGCCTCCGACGATGTGTTTCTTCTTCTCCCTTCACCCCCGCCTTTGCCAATGGCCAGGCCACTCACGGGCCACGACCCTCTACTTTTTTCTACCTCGCTCACTTTTACTTTACCCCGAGTCTGGAATTGGGACAGAGGGACAGTCTGTTGCTAGCACTGAACAGTATGAGGGGACGGAATAATGGAGGGGGAGGGGGAGGAGGGGGAGGGGCTTCAGTGGAGGGGTATGCGCCGGAGAGGGTCCCTTTCGGTGGGGCTTGGCAGCAGGAAACAACCCGGCCCAGGGACGGCGTGCCAGCGCGGGGGGTTCGCCAGGCCGAGCCGGCTTCGGACCCATCCCTTTAACGGCCTCTGATTGATGGAGAAATTCCTCCGCCTCGACAATTAGCGTGCCTCGTGCTCGGTGTACGCTCCGCCAGACCCCCAGGCCTCGTGCCTCGCAGATGTTGACGATGTTCGTTGGTGTTGGGTGGGGGGAGCGAATGAGGAGGGAAGAATCCGATCAGAACAATTTCTCTAGTTCCCCCGGCATTCGGGGTTCATGTGGCTGGAATTAGATGTTGCGTCCTTGGCCGTGATGAATTCATCTAACGCACGCATGTAATTCTCCGTGAAGTCTATGCAAAACGGCTCTAGACGGCATCTTAGTGCGAAGGGGGGCCATTGTCTCTGGGTTTCGCGCTCGTCGAGTTGACTTGGCGGCATTGGCGAATGAAGAACCTGACAATCGAATCTCTCATTGGACTGACTGTATCAACACTTGATCCCTCGACAGTCTGTCCCTCCAAGCTGTCTGCTCAAGAAGGCCATCCTTCGTAAGACGTCCGGTTGTGAAGGCGCGAATCCAGTATGCCCTCATGCTAGATCCGTGCCTTCTCGAATGCTCTCAGAACCCTCGTGATTTTCTTACTCTTCTTGCACTTGTCTATCTGCTAGGTCCAGCGGTAAGGTTCGTTCCATACCGGCTGGCTTCAGGGAAACGTTGATGTGATCGCTCAGTCATTACTGGTCATAGCCCTCTTACCGGGGCCTTCTGAGCCAGGTGCCTGAGCTTCATGTAGAGAAGGCAGTTGTGTGTATGGTTCTCAGAAACCTGGTTAATTCCTGACGTCAAATCAAAGAGCGAACCTTGAAACCGGTGACCGCGAAAGACAAGGCCTGGGGTTTGCACATCCCGCCAAGCATGCCCTACAAAAGGAGTAGATAGTTCACGATGCAATGTGGGAATTGGCAGGGGACCCAAGGGCGGCATACCGTATCGTCTACGACGACTGCTGCCAAGAGAGGACCCTACATCTGCATGGCGTTGTCTCGCTCTCTAGCGCTTGGGTGAGATGTTCTTGATGAACACCAGGGCTGACGGTAGGGGTGAGACGCCTGCGGGCGGACTCGAGAAGCTCGACAACTTCTCCGAGACCACCGGACCGCGCCACTTGCTCGGCCGAGACTTCAAAGTACCGACGATTTCCACGCTGGAATAGGCACTGTGCCTGACTACTTTTGTCAACATCAAGGGATGCCAAGTAGTCCTCTAGTGTAGTGTCAGCGCCGAGGGGACTCGATACGCTCCATCGATCACCCGGGGCGGGCCACGGCTTCTCCGCCTCCCGCAGATGGGCCGGATCCACGACAACGTAGAGACTACGGAGAGTGCGGGAGCCCCACAAGGTTAGCAGGCCGTTCAAAGCCTCTGAATTGTAAAATGAACTTCGACCGTCAGAGGGGCCGACTTGGTGAGGCCCAGGCCAGGCAAGGGCCAGACACCGCAGTGGGGTGGGCACGTGAAGACGAAAAACGCCGGCAGTACTGATCAGACGGCAGGGCCACTGCCATCCAGTGTTGAGAATGATAAGATCCTCCATGGCGTCAACTTCCATGTGGTATGCGCCCAACAAATCGCCACCTCGCAGTATGAGGGTGTAGGAAGATGAATCACCGCCTCGGAGAAGAAATGGATGAGAAGGCTTGATGAACTTGAGGGCGCGTGTAGCTACGAGATAGGAGCGATGACAGGCGAAAAGCATGCCAAAGAGAGTGGACATGACGCAGTCGCGATCTGAGAGATGAGGGGAACCAGAAGTGCGAAGTCTGTAGAGAAGAACTCTATCTTTGATGTTGTAGCGGTCGATGGAGCCATCCTCGGCGCGACCCATGGGATGGCGGGCCAGTTGAACATGGAAAGCGGTCGGGGCGGGCGGGGGAAGGGCAGCCTCCCAAACCTTGTCTTGCAGCTCCAGAGGTAGATTGGGAAAAAGAGTAAAGTCAATCATGGCTGATGATGATGATGGTGATGATGGTGGTAAGGTGAAATAATTAAAGTTGTTGTAGGTGGTGTAGGCGATGCCGATGCCGATGCCAATGCCCATTGACTTTTAGATGAGGGCTGATGGATGAGATGGCGAAGACGGGTGGCTATCGTCCAATACCGGAGCGCAGTCCGGGATGCTTGGACGACGATGGAGGGGTTCCGGAGGCGAGTTTAGTATTTTGGCGTCGATCTTGGACGGGCCAAGGGGTTTGTTGGTTGCGAAGGCGAATGACAGCTGAAGATGAGGAGGGGAACCAGCGAACAAGAGACGGAGGCAACAAGGCGATTGATTGTTGGTTCGAGTACGATTCAATGCAGAGCAGAGAACGCGGGGAAGTTTGCAGCCGTTCATTGGCTCATTGCGGCCACGGCGTCGGAAAATCGAGCCTCAAGGTGGAGGAAGCACGTCGCGCAGGGAAAAAAAAAGTGGCGGAAAATCAGGTTGTCGGGGTTGAAGGTGGAAGGAGGTGGGAACTGGGAACTGGGAATATGTCACTGTCCTGGATTGCCGCAGTACTGCGTGGAAGTTCGTAGTGGATGAGGCTTTTCATGGGCCAATCGACACGGGGATGGGCAGGACGGGAACGTTCCGACGTTCCGCCTGGCCTCTGATCTCTGCCTGCCCCGAGCGCCCATTTTTACAGTACGTATCTGTACGTAGTTTGGAGGATACGTATCTGTACGTACACCAACCCAGAAACACCAGTTCTCTAACCAACTTCAACTTGCAAGAGAAGTGTTACTCAAAGACCATCAGGGGAGTAGGTGTTTATTCAGACTTGGATTCTCTAGACGGATCATCAGATCATCACGGTAGGCGATTCGCGAGATTTCACCAACGTTGCCCCGATGCCACCCGTCTCATCTCTGACCCCAACTCCGAACTCACTCCCGCTCACCGCGAACCATCCGACATGCCGTCCATCCATTGCAGCCGCAGCCCATCCTCACACAGAGCCCACCGTTGAGCGAATGCGAGTTGAGATAGAACCCCTGCCAGCGATCGGGACAGCCCACCAACTCCCAGGCCACATCCCTGACCGGTCAAAAGCCTCGACCGTCTTTCCTGGGGCACATGTTGCAAAGGTGGGATACGATGACGTGGGTACAACAAGGATGCCCATCGACTTTCCATCCTCCCCATCCATGTTTTCTTCCCACAACTAACTGACAGTGACTGACTGATTGCCCACGACAAGCCGCAAACACCGACAGACAAGAGCGGGATTTTGAACGCTTCGCCTCTACTCCGTACCCTCGGGTGGTTTTCTCGATATCCACTCGCCTCGCCTCCACTGGAAAAGCAAACAGGAACTCATGGCTACCTTGTTCAGGCCCAGCCAACTGCGATGTGTTGTCCCAACCTCACATCATTCTCAGCTTAGCTTACCCTGCCTTGCCTCGCAGACGCAGCAGAGTGAGGCATCTCTTATTCTTACCCTACACTACCTTTCCTTGCACTCCTTGCTCACACCATCCCGGTATGCCCTCCATCTGTGACCTCTTTAACCTTTTTTGCTCTCCCACTGCCCGCTCCATATGCCCGCTCCTCCAGTGGGAATCCGGTTTTGAGCTCTGCCTTGTCGAGTTCCCAAAGCCTCCATCATCGTACATGCATATCCCGACCTCCATGCGCGTGGATACCTGCGCTGACTCTGCCTTTTGCGGCTTGCCCTCCTACATGCTACCTATATCATCCCTCCCTCTTGCTATCCCCTCACACCCACAATCCAACATGTGCATGGAACTGCCCATTTTCTCACGCTCAATTCCTCGTCCCCGAGACGTCATTTGCCGCTCACAGAGAGTCATGAATGCAGTATACCAAAAAGCTCAACCAGCCCATATATGAGTTTCTGCAAACCCTAGATAACTCGTCCGCCACAATCACTGGCATTGCTACCAACAGACCAACACACGTTTTAATAGTTTTCCTCATCGCCGTCTTCTCACCTACCTTGGTCTCTTAGCTTTTACCCTACTTCAACCAGCACAACATGGATCGTCGTCCTCATGCACAGTCACTAGTACCGCCGGCACCAATATCAAGTAGTGCACCGGAACCTCCGCAACGCCTACGCCGCAGGCTGCAAAAGAAGTTCCTGTCCATCCGACGTCCTGCACCTATCGACCCAGTAGCATCAAACAAACTCAATACCGGGGTGGCATTAGCTGCCCAGCAAGCCGGAACCATCGGCCAACCTTCCCTGCGTTTGTCACCAGACCTCAGCGACGCAAAATGGCACGCATATCTCGGAGACAGCAACGCTGTTCAAGAATCAAAACCAAAATCAAAACCCCAAACTACCAGACCAAGGACGCCGGAGAAACCACGAAAAGTCTCATTCGATACACCAGCGCCGGCCATCATTCCAGAGTTCTCGCACCTTGCTGTCAGCAATTTGACACCGAGACCGTCTCTCGACAGCTCACTCAGCTCACCGACCTCGTCCATCAGCACGAGATCGAGCATGAGACGCCAGGCAAAGACGCCCATCTATGCCATCGGCCAACTGGAGAACGCAAGCTATGGGAGGAGTGCCAAAACCGCCGAAAAAGTTACCAGCGTCGACCTGATTGCGAACCAGTACCGGGATCTCCTCGAGACACAGGACGCCAGCTCAATATGTACCGACGCCCATTCTGATCCTTTCCCATCGCGACAGTCGCTGCACAGCCAAATTTCCTCCTCCTCCACCACACGGTCACGCCACAGCGCCGGCGAGACACCCGCAGAGCTCCGGCGAGACATCTTTTCGCCGGCACCGGCGCCTTTACGCCGTGCATCGGCGGCGTACCCTAGGTCACCCAGGTCCGACGATGGAACACTAGTTGCGTTTGACGAGGAAGCCATCTACTTCAAGCCCATGTCATTTTCACCAGAACCACCGTCGACACCCCCGCCCCCGCCGCGGAATCGCGCCCGACTGAACCGCAATTCGCACTCGCAAGGGGGATCGAGCCAGAACTTGAGCTTGCAGATCGCCATGGACCTCTTGACCCGTGAACTCTCGACAAGCATGTTGGACAATTCGCACAAGACGGGAACAGACGTCTCGTCTCTTCAAGTTTGGGTAATGATCGAAGCCTACGAGAGGTTGAGGGATCAGGTCCTGGAAGCGAGGAGGCAAACAGATGAGTCGCAGAATCTGGAGACCGTGTTCGACACTTGGTTGAAGGCTCTATATACCCTTCACGACCAAATGACCAGTGACGCGGCATCTCGTGGGAGCAACTACGATTAGGACGGAGGGCGGATGATCTACTATTAGTCTCCAGGAACGGGTACACCCGCATGGTTAGGGGAACGGCGTTGGAATAGGTTCGGACATGGCATGTCTGAGAAAGGTACCTCAAGGAATCAAAACATCAGTATCAAATTTCAGTACCAGTATCAGTCTGGAAGTAAAAGGTTCTCAAGTCAATGAGGTGTGTGTTAGAAACTTGATATTGTCAAAGGAAGCGAGGTAGATGAGTAACCCCACCAGTTTGACAGTTTTGCTGAGGTGCCGAATTCGATGTCATCATTAATTTCCCTTTGGGGCGTGGACCGCTGTAATGGATCCATTTTGCCGGCCCCAAGCAGGTGGGTTCAACCAGCCTTAGGTACCCCGCCAAAGGTAAGGGACGTTTCCAGGGCAAGGTCCATAGCTTCCGCAGACGCGACTCTCGCCGCGTGCACTTTCTTTACCTTGTCCAACATCACCAGTCACATCGCCATCCTCCTGCTCTCCACGCCGTGCACCGTGTCACTGATAGAGCCCAAGCTTCAATCTTTTCGCATACGAGAAACTGGCGAAACACCTAGAATTGCTTATCATGGACGACGACTTCGGTGCCGACGAAGACTTTCTAGCTGCTCTCGCATCGTCGAACCCTGCACCTTCACGCCCCGAGACTCAACCAGCTCGTCCCCGTGTGCAGCAACCGACACCGCAAAAGATACAGCAGCCCACACCGCAGCGTTTGGATAGACCACCGCCTGCAAATGCTTCTGCGAGCGGCAAGATTGTCCAACCGACACCCCAAGCCCTCCCTCAGCGAGGATCCGGTTCCGCCATTCTTGTGTCTCCACGGCAGCGGGGCAACCCGGTGCTCGCATCTCTTAAGTCCATGCCGTGGGAGTACAGCGACATTCTAGCTGACTACGGTCTTGGTTTGACGACATGTGCATTATTCTTGAGGTTGGTTCACTACCCAAACAAACTCCCTTTAGCCTACCTTGATACCATGCTGACGGGTGTCTGCGCTCAGTCTGAAGTACCACCGCCTCCATCCCGAGTACATCCATACGAGAATCCGAAATCTCCAAGGGAAATACAACCTGCGTATCGTACTGACCATGGTCGATATTCCGAACCACGAGGAGGTCTTGCGCGAGCTGTCCAAGTCCTCATTGGTCAACAACGTCACCCTCATCCTCTGCTGGTCAGCCGCCGAGGCCGCGCGATACCTCGAGCTGTACAAGTCTTACGAGCACGCCAACTTCAATGCCATCCGCGGTCAACAAGCGTCGACGTATGCTGAAAAGCTAGTCGAGTTCGTCACAGTTCCCAGGAGCGTCAACAAGTCGGATGCCGTTGCGCTAGTCAGCAACTTTGGTAGCCTGAAGAATGCTATCAATGCGAACCCCGAAGAAATCGGTTTGCTCGCTGGATGGGGAGCTGTCAAGGTCAACAAATGGGTCAAGGCCGTCGAGGAGCCCTTCCGAGCACAAAAGTCTGGCAAACGACAGCTAGATCGGTCGGAACGCACCGAGGATGGAAGGCCATCGCAAGCATCGAGGCTGGATCAAGCTGTGCCTCTCAGTAGGGTCCCGCTTCGCGAGATGTCTACCAGGGACTCGGCAAGAGGCTCACCTGCGACGGGCACACCAACGACAACCCAGCCCAAGAGGCCCGCGGCGTTGGAAAGAGGCAATCCAGATTTGGACGAGGACGATGAAGAGGCAATGATTGCCGCCGCCATCGAGGAATCAAGGCGGATTGCTGAGGTACAAGCACAAGCACAGACGCCGGCGCAGGCGCAGGCGCAGACGAAACAAGTTGACAGCGCAGGTGCCAAAGGCGATGCACTTACAGACGGGGTCGCTGCCGCACTCGCAAAGTTGCGGAAGCAGGGCTGAATATCCGTAGTCTCTGGGCCATGTCGCTTTTCGTACAGCCCAGAAACACGACACAGCCTTGAATATTGTGGGCTGAAGTCTATTCGACGTTTCGAAAGGAAGGCACAACTTACAAGAGATGGGTACGCGTTTAAGGCGCGAGGCACCCTTCGCATAAGAGAGTGGAAACTTTATGACTCGTTGTGGGATTCGAAGAAGAGCATAAATGCGGCTTCGAGTGGGAGAACGAATCGAACGATGAAGTAAACTTTCCGCACTTCTGAAGCGACCCTTGGTTCGTCGGTAAGCCAATCACGACGATGCCGGTCTGGAAACAGAATGCAACCATCAGACGAGTCGCCCGGTAAGAAAGCGAAGTCCGTCAGTAGCAGGCATGCCATCCTGGTCGGATCTAGAATCTCCAACGTAGTCTCTGGCGTTGCAACAGAGCAGGTGGGGGATTGAATGCTGTGCTCAATAGAGGTTGTGTTCGTGGGTTCGCGCAGTGCGGGGGCGGCCTTGACACAGTTTTGCAGGTACCGAACTCAAGTCAAGAGTTGGAGATGAAGATCGTCACGCACGCTTCTGTTATTTCTCCAATGTCACCCTTCTGACCAAGTCAAGTGGTTGACATGGGACGAGCTGGTGGACCTTAGTTCTGACGCCGCGCCGTTTCTCCCTATCACGATTGACATTCGGTCTTTAGTTGCGTAACTCTTAAGCAACGTGCCAAACGACTAGACTATTGATGCGCTACTCCTTGCTCTTACATGGAAATCAAAAGGCACTGCATCGATGCCGAGCATGCAGAGCCTCTGAGATCCAATGATCAGTAGCTCCGATCATCCACGGCTAGATTAAGCCGGGTATAGCGGCCATCGGCACACCAAGCAGTCTTCTGATCCGCCCGTGCCAAGACCAAAGGCCGCAGTCGGTCATCATCTGGAAGCCTTGGTTTTGACTCCGTTGAAGCGCATCTCAAAGTACCGAGGAGACACTGCTTTATACGGAAGGTCAACGAGCACGACGAGTGACAACCTACAACACCTCGTGGCCAAGACTTTAGAAGAGGGCCCAGAATCCACATCCCCCTCGGAGGCTCGGGCATTGCAACTCGCCAGCACTCGTTTGTTTCCTTCCTTTTCCCGTATGCAACTGCAACGCAACGCTGCATTTAACTTTGGGTTGCACTGGCAAGGGGCCTTCTCCCCCCCCGACAGCTGCTCCGCACGTGCTTGATTCACCAGGGACGTCCGTGCCTGGTGACTTTGCCATTTCCAAGATGAGCAACGACGAACCTGGCAAGATCTTCTCTGCGCGTGTTTGATGCCAGCCATTACGGCAGCCAGCGGACTCGGCCCGCGTGGACGGCTCATCACTCGCCCTACCAGTGATGCAACCCACGTTCTTTTCAAGAACAGTTCGTCTGACTCTGGGTGTTAGATGCTACTCATAGTCTCATTCTACTGGGGTTGGTGGGACTTTGGGGGGGTGGAGGGTGGTATCGAAAGGAACAATAATCAAGGAGGGCGAATATGAGCCGGAGATGGGAAGGAAAGACACCGGGTCGCGAGAACCACCTACCACGTCGAATAAGGCACGACAAGCAGCAGCCGACGTTGCAGACGCAGAAAGCGGGCAGAAGCAGGAGAAGAAGCAGGGGCAGCTGGTGTGAAAGGAAAAAAAAGGTCCCCCGACTATGAGACATGGAGCAGGGGCGAACGCAAAGTCCGGGGGAGTATGGATGAGAAACAGAGTTTATTCATCTCATGCTGTGCCTGGGTGGAAAGTGTCCCAGTCTCCAGGTCCTCCCTCCCGAGTTTCCCAGAGTTTGCCGATTCCTGGGGGTTGCGTGATTCCAACACCCCCGACTGACCACATTGTCATTTCGTTAGCCTTTGCGCGCCCCAATAATGCAGTCGATGTAGATATATATATATATATACGTTCGACCGCAGCCTCTCTCTCTCTCTCTGTGCCCCCCCTTCTGTCGTCGTTCGTCCGGACCTTACTCCGTCTGTAGTCTTTCTACTCCCAGGACCGACATCTAATTACCAGAGGCTCTCTGTCGCGACACAATGCAGCTGTCAATGCGTGGACTGGCCATCGCCGGGCTCCTCGCCCAGGCGTCAGCCTCTCCTCAAACTCCTCTGCCGGCCGCCGCGCCGCAGTATGTCAACCAGCCCGAGAGGGCGGCAGCCGTCAAAGAAGCCTTTCAGCGCTCGTGGGACGGGTACCGCAAGTTCGCCTTCCCGAATGATACACTGAAGCCGGTGTCAAACACGGCTGAGAATGACCGGTAAGCTAAACATTTTGTCCATAAGTGGCAGCGCAAAGGCCCGTTTCCTGACACTGTTTTCGGTAGGAATGGTTGGGGTGCCAGTGCTGTGGACGCTTTGAGTACTGCCATCCTCATGGAGAACAAGGACGTCGTGGGACAGATTCTAGACTTTATACCGACCATCAACTTCAATGTGACGGATAGCGAGGTCTCTGTGTTTGAAACGACTATCCGATATCTTGGCGGCATGTTGGCAGGTGAGACAGGCTTCGCAATGTGAATGGCAGTGTTCTCTCTAAATGCTGATATAACTGATTAGGACATGACTTGCTGAAGGGACCTCTTAAAGACGTCGCCAGTAACCAGACTGGTGTAGACAGTCTTCTCACACAGTCAAAGAAGCTCGCAGACAACCTCAAAGTTGCATTCGATACAGCAACCGGTATCCCCGATAACACGCTCATTTACGATCCCAAACCGCGCAAGAAGGGCTCCGACACGAACGGCATTGCGACCATTGGGACCTTGGTGCTGGAGTGGACTCGGCTGAGCGACTTGACGGGGGACAAGCAATATGCGGATCTGTCACAAAAGGGCGAAAACTTCCTCCTCAAGCCCAACGAGGAGGTCTTTCCCGGTCTACTGGGTACGGACGTCTTCATCGCAAACGGGACATTTGCGGATAAGTCTGGTGGCTGGAACGGAGGCACCGACAGTTTCTACGAATACCTCATCAAGATGTGGGTGTACGACCAGAACCGCTTTTCTCTTTACAAGGAACGGTGGATTGCTGCGGCCGATTCATCGATCAAATTCCTGGCGTCGAGCCCGACTACTCGGCCTGATCTGACGTTTTTGGCGGCGTATAACAATGCGAACCTTAGGTTCGTCAGCAGTCATCGTAAGTTGATCCGTTACTGTTGGACATAATCAAATACTAAAATGTTTGTCTAGTCGCGTGCTTCGATGGTGGCAACTTTATTCTCGGTGGTCTCGTTCTCAAGGAGCAGAAATACGTCGACTTTGGCATCAAGTTGACCGAGGGCTGCCGCGAGACATACAAGCAGACGGCGACTGGAATCGGACCAGAAATATTCCGCTGGCAAGACAATACGCCGCCAGTCAACAAGACGCTCAACCCCGACCCGCCCGCCAACCAGACAGAGTTCTACCAAAAGGCAGGCTTCTGGATCAGAGAGGACGGCGCGGGCTACGTTCTCAGACCCGAGGTCATTGAGAGTTACTACTACGCCTACCGCGCCACTGGCGACAGCAAGTACCAAGACTGGGCCTGGGACGCTTTCCTGGCGATCAACAAGACGTGCAGCGCAGGAAGCGGCTTCTCGTCCATCACCAATGTCCAAGACCCGAAGGGAGGGACGGCTGACGACTTCCAGGAGAGCTTCTGGTTTGCTGAGGTCCTCAAGTACAGCTACTTGATCCAAGCGACGGATGCCAAGGTTCAAGTCGAAGTGGCGGACAACAAGTTTGTTTTCAACACCGAGGCACATCCGTTCCAGATCGCCTAGAAAGCTAGAACTTGTACGGGGAGAAGGCCAAGGTTGTGATGCATTCATGGGCAGGGGTGGATGGTAATATTGATAGTTGGGCATAGATACCCATTATGAATAATTGCATTTTGTTCTTCTTTTGATACGTTGATATCGCGCGGTTCCTAGACGTGATATTTGTCGTTTTCTATCTACCCGCTATGAGCCGCCGTCTCTCTTGGCGTATTCCTCCTCCATGGCCTCCTCGTAGAGCCGGTCGGCCTCGAGCTCGGCTTCCGTCTTGGGGCGGGTCGTGCCGGCTCCCGTGTTTGCGCCGGCGCCGGTGGCTTGGCCCGTGTGACCCGTTTGCTGGTGCTGGCTCTGTTCGTTGGTGGTAGAAGACTGGGCGGGTTGTGTCTTGGGAGGTTCGTCCTCTGGAACATTAGGGACGCCTAGTTTGATGGGGAGACCCATGGTGATGACGTAGTTTGGTGGGATGGTGGGATGGTGGGATGGTGGGATGTTTAGAGGAATTTGGAGAGTGGGAGTTGGATGTGGATAAGGATGGATTAGGGCGAGTGAAGAGAAGTGTGGCTGGAATTGAGGCTGGTGTGGATTGGAGTACCTAGGTACTTTTATAAGTAGGAAGCAAGGGATATCGTAGCCGGATGGAAGATTCTATGTGGCGGTATTCGCAATGGAGAGTCAGAAGGGTCCGAATAGCATTGCTTGTCATACAGTACTTTGTGGCGAATCGTGGGAGGGAGCCCGAGCTGTTCAGTTCAGCTGACCTAGGGACGATTGAATACTCCGCTATTCGCCGTGGTAGTTCGGATCCGAACCTGTCTTCGAGCCGATCCGCCCCACACCTTTTTGTCTCTGGATGGAAAAGTGTCACGGATTCTCGCGTCCGACCTAGGTAGGCAGAGTGAGGTACAGGTACGTAAGTTGAGGAATGTAATCGTACACGTGCTGTGTTCACCAGGCAGCCGGGATCAAGATCCGGGTGAGACTGGTTTTTAGAGGTCTGGCCCGTGTCATGATCTAGATTGTCTTGAAAGTTTTGGAGCCTCTGATGTATCTCTCTATGTGTGTCATCCAAACCGGGAGGGGGGTGGGGGAGAAGGAAACGATTTAGAAGTTTGAGCCACGTTCTGGATGAGACACGAAAACACAGGATCTGTTCCCCGGAACGCAAATTTCTCGAAACTTTGCTTGTGATGGGACTTGAAGGCAGATACGACAAAAAAAAAGTCAAAGCGTACTGCAACGCTTTGGCTGTTGAGTTCAAAATAACGGGGGCCCATGGGATGCGCTGGTAGATAAGACCCAATGTTACAGCAGTATTTTGCAACTTGCAACCTGTGAATGCTTCAGTACACGCAAAGGTTCCCCGGTGGCCGGTGGGATGAGTCGGACAAGGCCCTCGTGGACCAATGTTCCTGGAAAACTCAGGAACGGCATTGCGACTTTGCAATATCGATGGGAGGGGGGTTCCACGGCAACGTCGTTCCTGGTGATGTGTGTGTGTGTGCACGCCTGGACCACCTGGAGATAGAAGACACTGCCTACTCTAAATCGACTCAACCAGCCACGTAGGATCTGTCTTAATCGTGCTTGGGCGAGGAGCGGGGAGAACCGCGCAGGGGCACTGCTTTTCTCCGTCACGTTATCCAGTGACAATCCTTTCGTTGCATTTGTCTGGTGACTGTATGAGTTCGCCATTCTAGTTCGACTTGTGCAGGTAGAGTATCCCCGATTACAGAACAGAATAGAAGCGAACAAGGTGCATCCAGAGCGGTCAGGAACCATTTTGGATACTCAGCGAGCCAGTGAGAGCGTTTGGATTTCGAATGTCCCGTCTCCCGTCGGCGCCGAGCACCGAGCGGCGATTTCCCCTTCGGACTTTTCTCGATCAACTACGAAGTAGCTTTTGCAGAAAGCAATTAACCGTGGCCCTTTGCGTAATGACCAGTCAGGATGAGCATGCTTGTTTTCTCCTTCACCGTTTCTCTTTTCCCATGTCCTCCAGCCCCCCCCCCCCCCCCCCCCCCAGGCTTCTAGTAGATATAAATTGACTCGGCGTAGAAAAATAAACGCCGGAAGACCGGCCGTATGCTCCCCTCCGGAGGGTCGGCCGGTTGCACCGCGGACCAATCATCACCGAACATGGACGCAGTAAGAAACCCAAAAGAGGAAACGCAGTTATGTAAAGCGGAGGCAACCATGCAACTTGGTCGTCGCGGTGCTCCGAGTTGCGTTTAAGGATATAAGAAATACGTACCGTACATGTCCGTCCATACTCCCGAGCTTTGGTGGGGCACTCCCGAGCCAGCAGACCAATGGAAGATGCTGGAATCAGTGCTTACATCCGAATCTACCCAATCATCGAACAGCCGTTGCTGATTACTCCTCCGAATGGTAACACCGGGTCGCAGGGTGGCCTGCGACCCCTGCAGCCTCTGGGATCGGGGGCGCTCGAACTGGGCCCTTGCTAATGGCTTTCCGGGTCGTAGTGAGGAAGAAGCTACACCATAGGCTCTTTTTTGGCTGTCATGGTCGAGGCAAGTAGGCAAGCTCGGCTTGTTTTTTCACTTCTGGGGCTTTGTAAGTTTCGTTTTTGTTGCCCCATTGCTTGACATTCTTTCTCCAAAGTACCTTGATTCTGGTTAGCTTTGATATGTAAGGGCAAGAAGGGGGGTATCTTAGTGGAAAAGTCAAACGTTCCTAGTCTCGAGGAATTTAAAGTGACGGATGGTTGCCCTCTTACACCAACTCTCACTGACAAACTGGAATGCCAATTGATCTCGTCCTTCATACTACTTCATACTACTTCATCCAGACCTGTGATCAACTCGATTCAACCAAAACAAAACAAACAAGCCTGTCTCACTACCCCGGATTTGATTTCTGTCTCTCGATTCTCCTCTAAAAACCAGCTTACACCTCGCCGATTCACAAGTCCAAGCAGCTTCTCTCTCTCGGACGTGCTTCGACGATACCTTTCAAACAAAGGTCTACAGGATCAAGGCGAGAAAAGATTGAAATATATCAGATTAACCCCTACCTGGACGTCGACACCACGCTCTCACCTTGATAACACATCTCATCAGGAAACCTGTTTTCCATTTTCTCTCTCACATCAAAAGAGAAGAGCTATTCTTCACATTATCACACATCATGGGTCTCGTCACATTGAAAAACCTCCTCTTCGGCCGCACACCGCCCCCGACGCGCGCCAAATCCGCCTTCGGCCGCACCGAGAGCACAATGTCGGATGAGACCGTCGTTGACGGCGGCGACCTCGAGAGGCAACCCCTGCTGCGGTCCAGTGACCGGACCGTCTCGACAGCGACCATGGCCACAACTACTTCAGAAACGTCAACCACATCCACAAGGGTCTCAGAGAGCGACTCTCGCAGCTTCCGTCTTGACGCTCGCATGATCTCCGATGCCACCATCGGACTATCTGACGGCTTGACGGTGCCCTTCGCCCTCACGGCCGGCCTGTCGGCGCTGGGACAGACAAAGGTCGTCATCTTTGGCGGCATGGCGGAGTTGATTGCCGGTGCTATCTCAATGGGTCTTGGTGGCTACCTCGGAGCCAAAAGCGAAGCGTAAGTAAACCTTCACCATGTTTTCAATATCAAGTCCTGAGCATCACTAACACGCAAAACCCAACAGCGCATCCTACAAGGAAACACGCAGCGAATGCACCCGCCTAACCCAAGACGATCCAGCCCTCGCCCGCGCCCAGGTCCTCGAGGTCCTCGAACCCTACGACCTCCCCAAGCAAACCCTCGAAGACGTAACAGACCACCTCTCCACCTCCCCGCGCCTCATCGACTTCCTCATGCAATTCCACCACTGCGAGCAGGAACCGGCCTCCAACCGCGCCTTCGTCTCCGCCCTCACCATCGCCGCGGGCTACCTCCTCGGCGGTCTCATCCCGCTGTTCCCGTACTTCTTCGTCCCCGCCGAGGACGTCTACCTCGCGCTCTACATCTCCGTCGCCGTCATGGCCGTCGCGCTGTTTGCGTTTGGGTACGTCAAGACGTGTATCGTTTCGGGATGGTCGGGCTTGCGGTGCGTGAGGCAGGCTATTGTGGGTGGGTTGGAGATGGTTGTTGTTGGTGGTGCGGCGGCGGGTGCGGCGATGGGGTTGGTGAAGGCTTTTGATCAGCTGGCGCAGACTGATGATGTGTCGGCGTTGGCGAGCAAGATCTTCTAATACCCTCCGCGATATCTCTTTTCTTTTTACTACTTTATCCGGCTTTTGTTGTCGTTCTATCTGGACTACGTCCTTTTCCTTACTTCAATACCTCTACTCTTCTTTTGATTCTCTTTGTCTAGGGTGTACACGGGATGTGTTACACGCCATCAGGATGGTAGGGAGGCACAGGAAAAACTCGGACCGGGGGTCCAGGGCAAAGGAAAAATCTCCCATGTTTGCATTCATTGTCTAGCGTTTACGCGATTACTCCGAGGGAATCATACTATCCTAGAATCGCCTACTAGTTGAAGAAGATGGTCAGGTCGCAGCGATGCGAAGGAGGGCGGCGTTGGCGTCGAAGAGTCTCATGAAACTGTGGGATATGACAGCAAGGACCGCTGCAGGGGAAGACAAATGTTATCAGATAGACCATCTATCAAATAAGACTGAGACACATTCTCTCTTCCGTCATTGAGCACCTCGATCCACTAGTAGTATTGCCACTTTCTAACATCTTGATTGCTATACCACTCCGGCTCGTACATTGTAGCTCAGGACCAGACTAGACCCCTACTCTTGGCTATTCTCATAGTCTCCGAAGACGACCTTAGTCGCAGCTGACCTACTTAGGTACCACCCAAACCACACTAGGCGTGGTTGGCAGGGGCTCGTAATGCAAAAAGGCCTTCCGTTTGGCGGCCCTCCATCTGACAGCTTTAATAACACCAATGATGAAGACACCAGAGATGACGGTAAGTCCAACAACAGCCCGAGCAATGTCTTCACGTAAGCCCCAAGGAGCCCCAATAGCGCCAGGAGAAGAGTCGTGGCCAGGATCTGAGAACGTCAGTAAGCAAGTAGGTCTCGGACAGAAGGGAAGAGAATACCTGTTTCTGGTGACAGCAGCTCATCCACAATATGAGCAACCCCACCACTAATAAGCACATTCTGCATCATCACCATCTTTCCATTGACAAAGATACGTCCCTTGGAATCGCCGCTGATGGAAATCTTCTTGCCGCTCAACGTCGTCACCATCCTCGGCTTTTGCGGGAAACACGTATGGAACAAGACATGGTTCGGGACGACGTGGTCCTTGATGAGCGTCTCCAGTGCCTCTATATTCAAAGACTCTAGCATCGAGTGTCCTTTCCAGACAGCCTTGTTGCTCGGGAGGAACACGGTCACATCACGGAGCTTCTCGAGCACGCCGCCCATACGGGACTTGGTGACTGTGTTCCAGAAACCGTCGAGTTCTCCCAGGCTGCTAGTCTCTGATAGACTACGGGGGAGAACCAGACCCTGGTCGATCGTGTGGATTACGCCGTTTGCGTGGTGAATGTCTGTGTCGACAGTGTGGATGATCTTCTGGTCGCCGGATTCCACGCGGAGGCTGTATGAACCGTCGTAGCTTGCTGTCAACTTGACAACGGCACCCTGAGAGATGTTTGTGAGGCCTGAGGATGGTTTGAGAGACGATCGAGCTAGCTGAGTCTCTACGTGGAGCGCGGGAGCCGATGATAGGTAGGCGCCCTCTAGGAAGTGGTACTTCAGGATTCCCCTGGCGATGTCTGGATCCATGGAGGTGAGGTTCAGGCCCCATTTTGCTAAGTAGATGATTGCATCGTCGGTCATGGCCAGGAGTGTAGAGTTCTTGGTAGTCTCAAAGGTCTCCATGAGCTTCAGGTCTACGAGGAGACCGTGAAGCATCGATGTCGAGCCATGTTTGGAGAGTACGTCCCCGAGGGACTGTGCCGCGGCAGAAGCCACCAAGATAACAGATGTGGTGTAAGTCCGTAGATGCATCGTGGTTGAGTAGGCAGGTGAGGGCTATTCTGGCATAGGATGCGTAAAAGGGTATTGAAGCCGGTTGCTATATCTACATATACTTTTCCATTAGTCCCCGGTCTTGGCTTGGGGGTCGTCGTCAGTCTCCAACTCCACCAAGTCTCAGGCTCGAACTCTTTTTGAGCACGTAGACGGTAGTACACCTATCTAAGGTTCAGCTTATGCTGAGTCAAGCTATAAACAGCAAAGCTAGCTATGCAGACAACGGGCGCACTCGAAGATGGCAGGTTCATCCATGTCGACAGTATCGACCGTTTTGACAGACGGTTTCCAAATCGGCAAAGGAGAGCAAGACTACAGCATAATGGCCAACCATTTGATCCCTTCCTTGAACATTTAATATCAGTCCACAGGAAAAGATATGAAGCGAGGAATTGACGTTGAAAGACGCTGGGGCTTTCGGGAGAGGGATCAGTCGACTGTCGAGTTTTCAAGCCACAGCTAGGCGGGTTGTAATCTAGTATGTTGGCATTTTCCTGTGTTCTCTTTACATACGACCATATTAATTGAAAACTCGGTCAAATCCTGGTCGTTTTCTATGCCTCTAATTGAACTAGAACCACAATGACTACCTATAGCCTATACCGCCTTCTAGATCTATTGTTTCTACTGAATGCTTAGATCTAATACTATACTATATCTTCGTTAGCTCTTCGTACCACTCAATGATAGATTCCTTTCTTTTTCCGAGCTCGTCTCTCCTTAACCAGAAATAGAATGCCCGCCACACCTTTTTGACTAAACTAAGTGCTAAAGAAACGAGGCCGATGAACCAGCCGGATACTGGGGACAACACCGTGCCATATACCCAGAAATAAAGCGTCCTGACTGTCTTCGCATACAAGAGCAGTAGCGCAGTGACAGCCAAAGCCACGATTGCCGTAGAGGCCATGCCACTTAGAGTTCCGCTTGCCGGTGCGCCACTCGTACTGAAAGTGGTAGAAACACGACGGTCACGTGCGTGAATTGCCGGATGTTGTCCGCCCGGCGCCGCTCCAACTCGTTGTTCATCAGCACCAGCATTCGCGACGTTGACTGCTCGAAATAATCAATCCTGGATCGAATGCGGTATATCTCGTGTATGTAGTGCTCGTGCGAGTCTTCCAAGTTTCTCGTCACTTCCTGGATGTAAATGTCGCCGGTAGAGCCCAGGCCTGCCTTATCGCGAAATGCCTCTCGCTTCAGCCACAAGTCAATGTCTCCAATTCTCGACGAGCCCACCCTTCACTATTTGAAGAACCTTTAGAACATCCCGGATACTCCTGGTTTTGCGGACGAAGACGTCGTAGTTTTTCTCTTCCTCTAAGCTCTAAGGTGAATACTCGATGTCGCCGCCTCAAGAACATTAGCCGCTCCATAGTGCATCTTCTCCACGGCGGTGCTGAAAAGAATGAGCTCCAGGACTCGGCGCTGATGCCAAGCATCATTCCCTGTGCGGGTGTTGTTAGAACTCGCATCTCCGTTTCGAAGCAGACTTGTGACGAGGGTTCGCGCGAGTCGCTCGGTACTACTTTTAAAGTAGGCCGCCTCACAACATGGATTGGTTTGCAAGAAGCGACAGGTCTAGTACTGACCGGAGATATCACCCTCCAGTTCGAAACTGATCATTCCTCTCGCAAACGTGTGTAGGTCTAATACAGCGTACCTTACGCCGTTAGAACGTACGTCGCAAATAGCTATGTGAAACTCGGTTTCCCATTTGTTGAGTGGCTTCGCGAATTCTTCTGAAGACATCTTGGCATCAGACTTGTGTCTGTGGAAGGTCTCCTTTCCACCATGCTTCTTACTCTGCCTGTAGAGAAATGTCTCAATGCAAGCGCCGTTTTCATTCGAGGAGGGAGCGAAAAACGCCCATAATCTCTTTTTGGAATACTGACGGGACCTTCCCCTGTTCATAACCTTTTCAATGGCTCGGTGTGTCCTGATCCTCTCCACTGGGAAACCGTCCCCCCGCTCCTTTCTCGCCTCATATTGCTTTAGAATGTCAATGAGAAATCCCTTACAGCTCTTTTCTACGGGGGATCGTACACGTCCAGGTACTCCTTGCATCCGATTCTCTCGGTCCGCATGCATCCGGGGTTCCTGCGAGCTGGCGATAGCTGGCACTGGCACTGGGTGAATCGGGGGAATGGTGAAGGTATTCAGATGTTGAGAAGAGAGGAGTTGACGTTGATACTAATAGGGATTGTCAAAGACTTCATTTGGGAAGCCGCCTCTCTTATCGAGTGATCAAATTCCGGAAGGGTTGCCCAGTTTGTTGGCTATCGGATCATTCCATCTAGGCGACCAGCCCAAAGAGTCAGCAATATGTACCGCATCTCTTAGCAGGCAGGCTGTGATAGTGATACAGTAGCTTTGCCGCTGAGTTGTCAAAGATAGGAACTGCAGTCAGCCAATATGTACCGCGAGTCCCCATTACGCACCTCGGGAGGGGTTGAGGTGGATGGACTCAAGGTTGGCATGGGCCCAGTATCCCCTTTCATTTTCGTCGACTTCACATGGCGTATGTAGTGCAACTAGCTCCAATCCCTACTTTTGCCATTTCATCATGCATAGATGTTTGTAGTCAAGAGGCCATACCCTACAGCCTTGCATATACGGAGGACGTGCAACCGATAGAAGTGCACATTCATGCGTGTGATACCCGAGATAGAGCGACACGAGAGCCTGATCTCCTATCGGCGAAACCCTAATCTGCAACTCCGGTATACAGTGATAATGTGCCACAATGAGGCAACGAGACTATAACCTTGACGCATGTATATGATATAGCCGCGAATTTGAGGCAGCAGCTGTAAGTCTCTGGGTTCTGGTTCTGGCCCTTGCACATTTGTTTGAATCAGGAGGAACTTCGTGATGTCGTTTGATGGTTGTTAGGCTAAGCTTGCCCATAATGACTCAAACACAAGGTCGCGATCGAAACTAAGTGGCCATACAACGCGGCTTAAAATTTCCCTGACTTCAGACCATGCAATAACGCCAGTGATCTTGGCCCAATTCCGAATGAAGGTGGTCAATTCCTCTAGTATGGAATCGAGACGCTTGTCGCAGATACATGATTGGGCATGGACCACACTTAGTGATCCGACAAATGCTTTCCAGAGCCACGTATTGCGTGTCTCTCGGTTCATGCTTTGGAGATTGACTAGGTCGTTTCTCAAATCCTGTGTAAGAGCCCGAAGAATATGGTAGTGCAGTTGCCGCTCCATTGGCAGACCTTGATTCCAGGCCCCAAGAACGGCAATCAGATACATGCCGACGCCCGCACAGAATCCAGACCACGACGATATGAAGGCTTGTTTTCCGTGAGACGGGAGCTGAATCTTGTCGGCGAATGATGAAGTATGGGCGCTGATTATTGCGAACAGCAGTTCAGATGGGCCACCGCTATCCCAGACCTGCCAGGGCGTGGTGAGAACTACGTCAGCAGATGATTTCGCATGCTTTAGGTCTGCGAGCCTGGTAATATTCCGAAGAGCTGTAATGGTCGGGTACATGTCAATGTTCTTTGGCTTTCTGCCTTGTGGAACAGAGCCGAAAAAGAACGGCACCATTCGGAGGGCCCTTAGACGAAGATCTAGATCACTGGTCTCGTGGAGATTCGATTGATGTATCAAAAGGACTGACTCTCTAGGATCTGAGCGTAGTCTTTCGCTTTGAGATGATGTGTAAATAGCAAGAGTGTCGTCTGAGCGGCTCTTCAAGCAGTGGACGACGTTATAATTTCTGTTAAGGTAAAGAATCAATGAACATGCCCGTTCTTGTCTGCCATTTGAGATTCCTTACAGGATAAGGTAGCGAGTGGTCTGCTCAACTTCGATGTCATCAGTTACGTGTTGACTGGGGGTTGCTGCTCGCTGAGAATCCAGGTAAATCATGAGACCTTTAAGGTGAGATTCGGCAATAGCCAAATTTCCTAGGCAGCACTAAGAATATGGGATGTCAGTATGACGGGGTTGAAGAACGAAATGGTGTTGTAGCACCTCTATGAAGCAGAGCGTGCTAATGTACTTTGCGCACCGCATGGCATCTTGTTCGTATGGCGTGGCGACAAGCCAAGAGTTGACCTTCCGAATGCTCTGAATTTTTTGGAAGACAAAAGTGGATTCAAATGAATATAGATCGCCTTTATTCCATGCGTAGTGAAGACCGGATATCAGTATCGTATTTTGCAAGACATCCGCATCGGAAGTAGCTGATGCAATACTGCAGGGCCTATTAACACATCGTCATCCGGATACCGCGATAGACACTTACCAGTCATTGGGAGTTCTGGGTAACGGATCGAGAGAGTGTCCAGCTTGGAAAACTGTTTTGTTATGATCAGACACCGCTATCACGTAATATTGGGTTAGCATAAGAGAATAGACTAACAGTAGTGAAGAAGTTCTTTCGACCTGAGGGGCATGTCGATGGGCAAAATGTCAAAGGGATCAAGGGCTTCCCACGGATTTACGTAAAACGGACTCGTTAATGTGAGCGCTTGGGTGGATGGTGCCTCTGATGACACGGCGACCTCCTTATGGCTAGGAGAGGGGTTCGTGACGGGTCGTGTATCCTCAACGGCCCACGGTGCTTGTTGACCAGGGCAAGGCCCAGCTCTACGTTCGCGGAGCGGAATCTTCGGCACATACGAACATAACTGCTCTTTTAGTATGCAATTGAAGCTGCCAGACAGAATTATCAATCATGCACGTCTGAAGAGTTGCGATAAAGCCTCATGGGGTAGATTGTTATGATGTGATTGGACACTCGCAGATAGCTCTGGGAGAAAGACTGCTATCTGGCCGCGTAAATGGACACATTAGGAAGGCAGCTTACCAAGATGGGCGCCTCTCATCGCATCTAATATGCTTTTGGCGGCATGATACGCACCCCGTCCGGCTTCGTGTATTGACGTGTCTCGCCACGGGCTTATCCGGCCTAGGTGTCATGGTTGGTACCCGAGCGGCCGAGATCATTGCTCGGATGGAAGCTTCTTTCTCTGGCCTTTCGACTTGACCATGAACAAAAGAAAGCAGAAGAGTAAATGATGAGATTCGACTTCGTGTAAGATTTAAGCAAAGGGAAGTTTCATGCCGCTATCCCTGTTTAGGCCGAATAACCTGTCAGCCGGCGAATTAACGTTGGCCTCTTTTCCCGGCGATCGTACGGGATTCGGCCAACTCCTGTTCTTCCCTTGGAGAACCACAGAATACCCATAGCAAGAAGGTGTTTGTTAGGCTCAAGTATGGCAACTATTTGTTTTGCAATGAACAGAAAGTGGCTTCACGAAACTTCTGGAAGTCAGACTGCTGATCCTACTACCAAGCCGCTAGCAGCATCACAAGGCAGCAGGTTGAGCAACTAGACTTGAGAATTTGGTATAAAGATCGCGTCAATTCCTTACAAGAGGAAAGAAACAAACCATATTTGCCTTCTTCATCACTCCTAGTCAATATCACTCTACCAAATCTCAGACAATGGCCTCCCTGCCTTTCAGTGCCCGTCCCTTTGAGGTCCCTGCTTCGGCAAATCTCACGCCCACCAGCATCTCAATCCCTGATGCTGAGATTGAAAGTTTGAAGACGCTTCTCAAACTTACGCCCATTCCCAAGCCGAATAGATTTAACTCGCGTGATGATGGGTCTTTCGGCCTTCATCGAGATGTCCTCTCAGCGTTGGTAAAATACTGGGAGAACGACTACGACTGGAGAAAATGGGAATCTACTCTCAACGCTATTCCTCAGTTCAACATGGATGTTACCGATGTCGACTCCAAAACATACAAGATCAATTTTTTCGCTCTTTTCTCCAAGAACCCATCTGCGATTCCCATTCTCTTCTTACACAGCTGGCCAGGCTCTGTTGTAGAGTATCTCCCGATCCTTCGCAAACTTCAATCTCAATACGATTCTGAATCGCTTCCCTACCACGTCATTGTGCCTCACCATGTCGGATTTCCGTTTTCTGACGCACCGCCCCTCGACAAAGATTTCTCGCATCTCGATAATGCTCGCCTCATGTCGAAGATGATGCATGCGTTGGGGTTCGACAAGTCTGGCTACATTGCCCAGGGCGGTGACCTCGGCGGTTGGTCGGCACCTGCCATTGCGAATCTCGACTCAGCGTGCAAGCTCGTCCACATGAGTATGCTGAACGTTTCACCACCTGCTGATGAAGATGTTGAGGCCGGTATCGAGGCAGGGCGGTATACTCCAGATGAGGTGGCAGCCTTTGCGAGAAGTGCCGAATTTGCAAAGACAGGCACCGCATTCATCCAACTCGACGGAACGAAGCCGGCTAGTGCAGGGTATATCATTGGGAGCAACCCAGTGGCACTACTCTCCTGGATCGGGGACAAGATGATCAAGTGGTCTGACAAGACACCAGATACAGATCTCATCATCACGAACCTGGCCCTCTATTGGTTCACTGGGTGCTTCCCAACGTCGGTTTATATCCATCGCGTGGTCTTCGAGAACGTTGAACTCATGATGAATGGTTGGAAAACTCTCAAAGTCCCGCTAGGATACTCAGCGTTCAAGTATGAGCTTGTCACTGCACCTGAGAGGTGGATCAGGCAAATAGCACAGGTGAGCTGGTATCGAATGCATGAGAGAGGAGGTCATTTTGCTGCACTTGAAGAGCCAGAGACTTTGTGGAAAGATGTGGAGGATTTCATCGGAAAATTTTGGCCAAAGGCCATTTAAGGCCTGTTAGTGTGACCAATTTTCGAAGGGTTGGGTGTGATTGGGATCAGCGTAGGAGGATTGAATGGTATGCTTGGTAGTGTTGTTGTCACGACTTATGGCACGCAGCAATGGGCATATGAAGTGGGTTAAAGTGGCTGCAAGCCTTCTTCGATAATGGATTCTGATTATGGCTAAACGTTTGTATCACGCGTGACCTACTTTGATATATTGTAATCATGAACCGTTACCCAAAAGAACGCCTACTCGCAATGCGGGAGAATTGACAAGAAAAACAATAGTAATACACTGCAGATGATCTTCCACCTAGATATCCCTGCTCTCTCCAATCTCACACACATGATACATCAGGCATTACCACGCTTCTAAGAGGCCATGACAGACAACAATATCTTTGAAACACGTCAATATGCCTAAATTATACCGATACAGGACGGCTATCGTGGCCTTCATATGAGGAATTGGGAAAGGCTGGTGGTGTCACTGGAATCTGGGTCCCCTCGGACGGCGGGGTAGCGGGGCAGCAGCGGAAGCCGGCCGATCCAGGCTCAAGCGCAAGACCTGTATTGAACGATCACTCAACCATGTGTAACTAGGTACTACTCGCTGGACTACAGGAACATAGAACAAGCTGCAGCCCTCCATTCCAATGCCTACATTACTGCGTATTTATCACTTTGCTTCTCACTGCTTCCGAACCTGTCACCCACATTGGCCCATATTCGACCCAAGCCAGTGCCTTGTTCTTCGGCTTCTCGTCCACTACGAGCCACTGCTCATCTGAATCCTTGTTCTAGCATTGCCATCTAGCGTTCTGATCTAGTGGTTCTTTTAGACGGTTGCAGGATACTGAAAATTGGTGCTCTGCTGAAATAGGAGGATCGGTCGGCGTAGGGCTGTGTTAGGGACGACTGTATGCAAGGGGTCTTCAATGATATAATCGAGTCATGGCTGAACACATCTATCAAACGTTGTATAGTTTGATTTACATAGTCATGTTCAGGAACCACTTTGAAAGAACGCCAGCCCAGAATACAGAACGGTCGACGAGGGAAAACAGCAACATATTTAAAATATCTTCAACGCATCGTGCCGGGGAAATAAAGCCTATTACAATCATTTGATTATCAGACTTATTGTAACCCAAATCATTAGGCTGAGCCAGGTTTGGCTCGATGTCATTTACTAGGTTCCATCCGATGGCCGCTTTGTATCATGACTACCAAGGCCCTGGTTTTGCCCATATAACTAAGTTCCCAAGGTATAAGAACACGGGATTCCCAGATGGGCAAAGCAATGGAAGCAAAACTTTACCATCGAAATTGTACCATGCTAAATCTGTGGTTACAGGATTGGCGGGATTGGAAGCTGTTGGAATATTGGCAGAAAAGGTGGATTGTGAAGGTGGTCTGGGCCGTTGCAAACGGCCCTTCCACCTACTTACTTACACCCAACGGAGGAATCGTGGGCTACGCCCACCAACTTTCCTCCTTACAAATACAAGCGCAATTCAATACCAGATTATCCAGCTTCGTACCGGCCCTCAGGCTGCCCCTGCTGACGTGTATACCAACAGAAGCCAACTGCCATGGCGAGGCAGGTTGTGAATGTGTGGATAGCTTCTGTGGATTCGAATCTTTTCGCCTAAAAGACTAGGATGTTCCAGTCTTAGGAGCTTAACCCCCAGAAAATTACGTCGTTCACGGCCGGAGAGACATCACTCGTCCTATTCACTCGCCCCGGTGTCTCAGAGTAAACATTCGAAATTTCCATTATAGTTGCTTGCGATGTCTCGATCTGCCACATACGACCATACCCATTGGAAAACTCGGGATCCCGTCCGCTCTCCCATAGATAAGCCAATGAGGGCCGGATTAGTAGTTGGGTCGGTGACGACCAGCGAATACCTGGTGTTGTATGTTTTTGCAGTTTTGTTATTCTTAAATGGTTCATGGCTTGGGAAAATCTTACTGCTCGAGTAACTTGAAAAGAATAAGAAAAGAGACTGCCTCCGAAGATTCTCCCATATACCCGGGATCTTAGGGATCTTAGGGTTCTTATTGTTTTCATACAACATAATACTGCTTTTGACCTAGGTAAATTTGATGGTACTAGGAAGGATCGTTGTGTGATGTTTTTGAGGGGAGATGTGTCCTATCAAAAGGCTTCATATTGAAGTATTTAGTACATTAGGAGTATCACGTATTCAAAGCTTTATTTCCCCTGAACAGAGGACGCGTTGCATAGAGGCTCGAAGACAGAGAAGCGGACTTCAATACCTCGTTGCTCCTAATGGCTTCTCCTCGCTGCTCGGGTTTGCCGATTCCACATTGTCCTGGTTGTCCAGCTTAATCGCCGACCCCTCTATCCTGATCCACTCGATCCCGAAGGCCAGGAAAAAAGCCACACCGGCTGAGGCAGCAGCAACGAACTTTCCAGCGACATGTTAGCGAACATGGAAACGCTAAGTCGGGTCATAGAGACAGGAGACTCACGTGTGTCTGAGCGATGGCAGAGTTGTACGATTCCATGATAGGGTCGAAGAGCGAGGGGAAGTCTTGGTCCACAATGGCTCGCACGTTTGCGATACCGCTTCGGTAAAGTAGTTGTATCTGGTCGTGACTCAGCGCAGCTCGCGAGGCGAGCTGGCTCTCCAGACGCGCGTGGAAAATGGCACCGGCAATGACCTGCGCGACGGTAGCCCCGAGAAACTGGGCGAAGATGTTGAGCGAGACGCCGATGGGCAAGAGATCGGCGCGGTCCCTGAGTGCCAGTTGGACCATGAGAGATGGCATCTGCATGGAGAAGCCGACACCCAGGCCCTGGATGACCTGGAACCCGATCCATTGGCTCGACGGGGTATTGGAGACGGTGAATTGGGTGTACAGAGCAGCCGCGGTGCACATCAACACTGGCCCGACATAGAACCAAGGGTTGTAAAAACGGATTTTGAGGGCTGGAGAGACGAGTCAGAGGCCGGAACATGAGCGAGGGTGTGGAAAATGTGCGTACCAATGGCACCTGCACAAATCGTTCCCACGATTTGTGAGATGACGGACGGCAGCACTCTTATGCCGCTCTCAAAGGGAGTAGCGCCCTGGACTGCCTGAAACCACTCTGGGAGGTAGTACGATGAGACGGATAGAGCACCAAGATGGCAGAAGGAGAAGATGACACTGAGCATTACGGTGCGTCTTGTGACTAGAACACCAGGGATCATGGCTGAGTCCCCCAAGCGCGACTCCCAGACAGCGAAGAGACCCAGGATGACGATTGATCCAACCAAAAGGCCAATAATGGTTGACGACTTCCAAGGGTACGAATTTCCGCCCCATTGCAGGGCGAGGATGAACATGAAAATGCCGGGGACGAAAACGAAAGACCCAACGGGATCCAGACTCAAGACTTTCTGCATGGTGGTCATGGGGCTGCCTTCTCGTGGCGGCAACTTGAAGAAGAAGAACATGGCGAGCAGGGTGACGGCACCACCAGGTAAATTGATCCAGAAACACCAGCGCCAGGTGACCTTCTCGGTGAAGGCGCCGCCAATGATGGGGGCTAGAATCAGACCCAGGGCAAAGCAGCTGCTGCACAAGCCGATGTACAGCGGTCTACGTTGGGGTGAAGATATGACCAAGACGACGGTGAGACCTCCGCTGGTGACTGCGGCTGCGCCGATACCCGAGACGGCACGGCCGACGATGAAGATTTCGCTTGTGGGGGCCCAGCCGCATATGGCACTACCAACGAGGAAGGCGAAGAAAAACCCTTGGTAAACCCAGCGGAGCGAGAACACACTGGCCATTTTGCCCGCCAAGGGGGTGAGCGAGCAGACCGCCAATGTGTAGGCTGCTGGATACCATGATATGTGTGATGTGTTCTGAAAGTCGGACGTGATGGACGGAATGGCCTAGGCAAGAGCAAAGTCAGTTTTTCCCTCAAATGGGAAGAGAGAGAGAGAGAGAGAGTGTGTGTGTGTGTGTGTGTGTGTGTTGGTTGGGTGACGAACCGTTCCGATGATATAGACATCGAGAGCCATGACAAAGGCGCCGAAGCAGACGCCAATAAGAACCATGTATAACTTGAAGCCGTGCAGCTCCGAGGAGGCGAGGCCGGACCGCTTGGTGTTGCCTGCGGCATACGTCGTGGACGCTGGCGCGGATCCTACCAAGCCTTCGCTCGCCTCGCCATTCATGTTTCGGCCATCTGATGGTGCTGATACTGATGCTGTTGCCGTCATCCTTGTCTTCAGCCTCTAGCTACGTTTGTGTATGGGGCGCTTAGAAACTAACAAAATATAGTGCAGGGAAAAGATCGAAGAGTGAAGAGCAAGAAAGCGAAAAGAGCTGCAGTGATTCCGACGTCGAGAAACTTCTTGATCAAGGCACGGAATATTGAATGACAATGGGGCAATCAATTGAAGTCCCCGGTTCAAGAACGTATATAACTCATACTTGTTTGCCTGGCCACGTGCGCGGATTTCCAGGTTGTAAGAGGCACAGCACTCCAGCGTTCAGCCTGCATGTTGTTGGTGATTCGCCTTATTGCGGTATGCAAACTGGTTGGCCCACTAATTCCGGATAATTCGCAAGTCGAATAGGATAAGCAAGAGTCAAATACAAGAGCTCGAGTTCCAGGGTAACGCCACTGATGATGTCCTACCTATGCTTGGAGTATGCTCAAAGCCAGCAGTCAGCGTGCCTTCTTCAATGATACATTTTGATTATGGCTAAACGCTAATATCACGCGTTACATGCCTTGATCTACATGGTGCTTATAAACCATTACACAAAGAACGCCTGCTCGAAATGCGGGAAGACTGACGATGGAAACAGTAGTAATACACTGCAGTGGAGGGATCTTTCGCCTAAAAGTCCCTGCTCTCTCCAATCTCACACACATCAAACACGCCCGTCGGTGGCAAGCCCTTCTTCTTCATAGCCTCCTGCAGAAGCTTGGGCGGCTCCAGCACCTCTTCCATGGTCAAGGCCCACGTTCCCCAGTGAATTCCCATGGCGCGCTGGCACCTTGTGTCCTGGAAGATTTCAACTGAATCGAATGGGTTGGCGTGCATCCCCGAGAAGGCAACGCGCGGGTAATACGCGCCGATGGGGATTAGACCGAGATCAAACGGTCCCCGGAACTCGCCAATCTGCTTAAACTGCGGGCACATGGGCAGGTGGGCGTACTTTGGGCCATAGTCGTCGACATCGAGCGGGGTCCACGGCACGGCGCGGTACCCCGTGTCACCGCCAAACCAGACCGACTTGCCGGCTGACTTGACGCCCCACGAGGCCCAGAGCGTCGTGTCCTTATCAAAGGGCGTGCGGGCGGAGGTGTGCTGGCAGGGGAGACACGAAACCTGGGCGGTGATGGATTCGGGCGCCTCGTCGACGCCCTTGTCGATGTTGAGGGTGATTTCGGCGTCCTCCCACCAGTCGAGCTCGGTGACGTTCTTGAGGCCGGCGTTCTTGAACCAGGATTCCAGACCGAGGCCGACGAAGAAGTGGGCCTTTGGGTTGTGCTTCTGGATGGTGAGGACGGACTCGTGGGAGAGGTGGTCGTAGTGGCTGTGGCTGATAAAGACGGCGTCGACAAAGGGTATGGCGGCGAGGTCGCAGGGTTTGGGGGTGAAGCGTTTGGGGCCCATGAAGGAGAAGGGCGAGCAGCGGTCCTCGAAGACGGGGTCAAACAGGACGCGCAGGCCGGAGGGGAATTCTACGTAGTAACAGGCGTGGCCCAGCCATGTTGCGCGGAGCTTGTCTGAGGCGGTGCGGTTGGGGAGGAACTCTGGCTTCTTGACGGTCACGGTTGGCGGCGTGGTGTCGGGCCATTTGAGCTCACCCGTCACTTGCGGCCTGTGATGTTTGTTAGAATAAGGTAATTGAGCGGGGAGTGAGGCCGGCGCGGGGCCGGGATGGCCGGACTATGAGAATGAGTGTGAGATGGATACGTACCAGAGAACATGGCGGAGCATTTTAGAAAAGCCGATGCCATCGCCAAAGGACGGATGGACGTTCTTGAAGCCGACTCTGTTGCCGTTCTTCGTGACGTGGTGAGGCTTAGACGAGGCATCCTCGGGCGAGGGACCCAAATCAGGGATCTTGGTGACGGTGGTTGAGTATGAGGCCATTGAGAGGGCGAGTACAGAGGCTGGTGTTGCGGAAGCTTTCTTAGCACCGGGGCGTATGGGTGGTTGTTGAAAGAAAGTGCGGAAGAACTGTCTGAACTTAGACATGGTTCATCAATGGACCCCTTTGCTTGGAGGAGTGCGAGGGGATTCCGAGATATATAGATGACTTTAGACCTTGCTACGCAGATACAAAGAAAAAGAGAGGGAGGGACTTGAACTTTGGGAGAGACAAGCTCAAAATGGTAGCAATCCGCGCTCGCCAGTCGGGGAATTTGACTAGACGGAACGAGATCCACTCGGCGTTAGCGAGAACGATGAGCCCGGTCCGAGAGAAAGAGAGAGAGAGAGAGAGAGAAGACAGGCTGCAAAGGCAAGCCACTCTCCAGATGGGCTAGGCAGTGAAAGACACGTGGGCATCACTAATTCAGCGTCATGCGGCGAGGCTTGGTTTAAATTTGCACGTCAGAAATGCGACTGCGAGCTACAGAAATGACTTGGAGCTATCAACATCGCTATGAAAAATGAGCTGTTCTCCCCGGCGCAACGCGTCAAGAATCTGTGCGTCACTACATCTAAGTCAATCAATGTATGTAAGTTGTCGTGCCTGTTTGGCACGTCAGTGGAGATACCGGCTTTTAGGACAACCAAAGTTCCCTAACCCGTACTACGGGTGTGTCCGTCTCACTGACAATCCATAGAGCAGCCCTAAAGTTCAAGCCACAACACCGACTCCGACTTCCAAAGTTCCATTTCTCATCATCAGCTTAAGGTACTTTGGGTGCGAGTGCGGGGGTAGGTAAAGTCCGGCCGTACCGTACCTTATGCATCGGGCGACCCATCGCGGAGACACGGTGGAATGATCCCTCCGTAGTGCGGGAGACCGGGCCAACGACGCTAGTCTCTTTTCGGACGGGAGCCCATTGGATCTCTCTTTCGCCGTCAAAGTCCCCTTCTGAAAATAGAGACGCCCCAGGTACCCTAGAACAGGGGAGCCAAGTACCCTAGAAGAAGTATGCGATCTGTGCCCAGTCAACTGGGAGCTACCCCTCTATCCTGACTCACCCTGTTCGTATACCACATCACATTTACGACTTACGGGTCTTCTTGACGCATGGCAGAGTCCATGTTAGCATGCATGTAAGCAACAACGGGCTTGACGATTGGAGCAAGCGGGCATGCGGCCGCATGCGCCGCATCGCTAAATAGACCGCACTCGCATCTGACAGCCTGACTTACATGCAACTCACACTCTCCATCCACGAGGAACCCGCATCTTGATCTTTGGGAGCAATTTTGTCTTTCTTCATTGAAGTCCGCTCATCTGCAATGTGACGATCGCCTACGGACGTCCTCCCAACGCCATCTTCCTACACCGTGGCCCATGAGGAACGACCGTGGCCAGCAAGACCGAATGCCCCCTTATCTTGCTCCCACTCCTGCCTTTCCATGGCCCTCAAGTATTGTGTCTTTGCCCTGCACATGTTGACCGGGTACTTGTATCTCATCGCCAGCAATAGCCGGTGGCTCTCCTGCTCTTCCTCGCGTTGAGCCCAATCTTCCTGGTGACGAGCCCAGTCTTCCTGGCGTCGAGTCCAACTGTCCAGACGACGAGCCCACACTTGTTCAGAGCAGGCATAACCTTCCATCAGCTCTGGTTCTACTTCTTCTTCTTCTTCTTTTTCCTCTTCAATTTCGTCGTCCTCCTCCGAGCTGTCGGCATCGTCAGGAATTCCCGTCGCTCCTCTCACAAGCTCGAGACTGAGTGGTCGCGGTTTACGAAGGGACGGAAGCGATACAGCCCTGCCTGGTGGCTTAACTTCAGTCGTGGTGGTATTTATCGAAACCCCCGCATCACTCGCTTTACTCTCCTCTCCTCCACGAGCCACCCATCGCCGCAATTTCGCAAGATTATGTGGAATACGCTCAAATCGAAACGTCTTGATAACGAACTGATTCTGAAGACAGTGCAATTCAGCCTCGCAGTCCTGTACAATACCAGCGTACAAGATCCGGGTAGGTTTATACCCGCAATTCTCTGCCTCGGTCTCCATGGTACGGGCCTCTCGCAGCCAGCCTTGAAGTTTGAACTTCGCGTCCCGTGGTAAGCGGTGCTCCTGGACGAGGCGATGGACGTCCCGGTACTCTGCCTCTTCGAAGCCGTCGCGCCATGTTTGCACCTTTTTGTCTAGGAGAGGGATGCTGCTTTGTCGGCCTAGGGCGAGAATGGTTGATTCCCAGACTGCTGCGTCAGGATCTGCTGGTTCGTTTGGCGGGGCGAGCTGTTGGTGACTTGTAGACATGACGAAATTCATGATGGCTGCAGGTGGCATTTTTGATATATCCTCGGGTATTGGTATTGGTTCTTGTCTTTCTGGTTGTCATAAGGGGGTTGAGAAGTAGTGAGGCGGGAAGTGTGATCTCGCATTGCCGGGAACACTTAGATCAGGGTCTCGACTCGGTTCTTATAGCGATTCCATCAACCTTTGCGTCTCGAGCCGTGGGTATCGGAGATAGTCATAGAGTTGTACCTCTCCCGCGTAAAACTCTACCGCTTAGAGCGAGGCGACCTAGCCCTAACTTTTAACCTGGAGGTCGTCAACAACCAACTCAAGCCAAAGAGGTGCAAACAATGTCAAAAACAGTAAACCAAGTTCAAATTCATCGAGACTGTACTGTCCCTGTCGCCGTCATTATCCGTCATCATGTTATCTGAGAAACAAGAACGAAAACAAGCTCTGGACCAAAAGTTGCGCCCGAACGGAACGCTCATCAAGAAAACCAATGGACAATCCTCGCAAAGGACGTCCATCAAGCCACCCAAAGAACCTTGCAAAGCAGCCTCACATGTTGATATTCCGTGTGTCCTCGTCCATCTCCTCGCTGCCTAACTCTGCTTGGACCTCATCAGCCACGAAACCCTCGTAGTCGTCAAGGTTCTTTTGTACGTGAATCTTGAATTTGATGACATCGTTGAGCATACGGTCAATCTCCGTGTGCAGCTCTTCTCGCAGGGAGTTGGCACGAAGTACGAGCTGTTCGTATCTAAGGCTATGGTTAGCACTGAAGTATAAATGAGTCCAATTAACATTGACTTACTCGATGCTCGTGTTCATCTCACGTTGTTCCATCAGCTGTACCGACTCTGACAAAGTGGCTCGCATCTTGGCAAGCTCCTTCTCCATCTTTTCGATCTGGGCATCAGATGCCATCTTCTGTGTTGTTGTAACCTATGATAGTTGTCAGTATGTGGTCTGTCATCTGGATCAAGCATAGTACGTACCTCCTTGGTCTTCTCATATTCTTCCTCAGCAGCGCGGACACGGTGCTCCAGAGCCTCAACTTCATTGCGCTTGTCTTCGATTGCCTCCTTGATGCCATCAAGCAGGTCATGATCTTTCATCATGTTGTCCATAGCAACGGTCCTCCTTTCGGAGATCTCTTTCCTTAGCGTAAGGAAGCTGTTCTTGACCTGTCCGCGCAGATCGAGATTGAGAATGTGGGCAGCCTGGTATCCAGTAACGGGGTCAGCAAGCAATCGGTCGCTTGAAGAAACGCCGCTCGAGCCCTTGAGCTGCGAAGAGCTGAAGTCTGGTCCGTCGTTGACCGTTACTTGCAATTCGTAGTCCCTGCCGTTGGCATTGACCGCGTTTGCAGGTATCAGGGCAATCTGGTACGCCAAAGTGTTATACCTGTCGACCATTCTCTCGAGTTCGTCCAGCTTCCTGCTTGCCTCCATCTCCTTGTCCGCAACCTTCTTCTTGACGTCCTCCAATCTTTGCGACGCTGACTCGATACCCTTCTGGAGACGTTCCCGCTCGGCAGTCATGCGGTCGATATCCTGCATGCTAATGCCAAGATCGTCCACAGCCTTCTGCAGTCCTCGTCGTTCGTCCTCTACCTCTCTCAACTCCTCATTGAGCTTATCGAGCTCCTCGTGAAGGACGTTGATTCGGGTTTCGTACTTGTCGGATCTCTGCATGGCAAGCGCATTGTATTCTTCGAACTTGATCTTGTCCTCTTCCATGATCCTGAAATGATTGTCGAGTACGGCAGGATCCGGGGTGGACTTTTCAAGATCTTCGATTTCTTGCAGTAGTCGGCTGTTCTCTGCCTCGAGCATCTCAAGCTCAGATGTATACTTGGAGTTGGATTGCTCGAAAGCGGCTGCCATCCGTTCAATATGAGGGGCGAGTGCTCGGTTTGCGTCATCGTCGTCTGCGTCCTCGTCCATGGCAAGCCAGTCCCTATATGCCTTGCTCAGAAAGTCGAAGATGATACGATCGCCGGTGACATCGAGGCCACTTTCGAGACAAGCGTCGTCGTATCGGCTGCAAGCGTAGCCATCCAGCATCTGCGCCAGCTGCATCATCCAGTGCAGCAATCCCAGGAAAGTGCTCCAATTTTGACCACCGACAGCGGCAATCTGACTCTTTGTGATGCTTCTCTCGTATGGGTACCGCAGCTGCTTCAAGATAGGCGGCACTTCTTGGTCGATGTTCTTCTGGAACTTGTGGCTCGGGTCAATTCGCCTGTACAGCCATTGGAACATGAAGTTGAAGTCCTTTTGCGTAGGGGATTTGATGATGTTTTGCGATAGGGTATGCTTCATCTGCATCTCGAAGTTGTTTTGGGCAAGATAATCCAGCAGCTCCTGTCCTATCCTGGCCTGGTATGATCTGTCTCGTAGCGGGCGGGGGTCTCGAGGTACGCCAGCAGGCTGTGGTGCTTGCTGGAAGAAACTCTGGTGGCTCATGGGTCCGGCGGTTGATGTTCTTGCGCGGTAGACACTACTCCTCCTGTCGTCTTGTGAAGAGCGTCCTGGCGCAGGTGTCGGCGCGAAGGACTTATCGCGCATCGATGATGTTCGCTTTACCGAGGACAGGCCAATGTCTGCCAGGTTCGTTCCAGATGATGAGCGCTGGAACATGGGCTGGCTGGGTCGCGACAATGCCAGAGATTGTCGGGAGCCGGACATGGATCGGCCATGGCTGTTCGAGTAAGGCGCGCCTGCGCCGACGCCAGAGGCAGATCGTTTCATTGCTGATGCGGGTTGAGGTAGGCCGGTGTTGTAGTTGATGCCTCCTAATGTCTGCGTAATAAGTTAGTTACGACAAACCTATCGAGGCTGTGATATCGCGACAGGCTGATGTTGAGGGAAATGCTGACTTCTCTTGGTCTGCGCACACTCCACAGGCCGGTGTCTTGCGACATGGTCGGAGGGAGCTGAACAGTGGTGGTTCCGGTGCCAAATCGCAGTCGACGGACTTGCGAAAGACTGGCAATGCAGGAGCTAACGATTGCGAGTCGCTAGAATGGAAGTGAATTGTTACGCGACAGGTTCGAGTAAAGATGTATGGTTTGCGCGCGCATGCATGCGTCGTGTGTAAGGAGGTGCGAGTGGGATGGCAGATCGGGTAGCAGATGCAAAAGTATTGTTGCTCTGGAGCAAGTAAACAAATTGTTGTACCCCTCGTTCATTGGCTGCGCACTGCCCCTCTCAAACAATGGGCGACGGGGGGCCACAGTCTCGGTGATGCCCAACACGTGACGGCAGGCGAGGACGTCCGGACGGTACTTACTCGGCATTTCTCCGCATTAGGTAATCACTCCAGACATTTCCCCAGCCGCTGCTCTGCGCCGAAGCCTCGGCTCAGGATCCGGCCACCCATTATTGCACCTAATCAAGGTCGCGAAGGAAACCTCCGTCATTCCTTCCACCTGCACATGCCTTTTACCTTCGCCTCTACTGCCGCAAAGCGTGGTCATCACTGAAGGAGATCGCGGCGAGGCTGACAAGGTGACACATTGAAGATGGCGATACGAGAGGATATCGTCGCCTCAGCGGTACGGTGACCCCAGCCCCAATGTCCAAAGACGACCCGCTAACTTGTAGACAGACGCAGTGTTAGTACCGACGAACCGATGTATCGCGCGCGACCTTATACTGACCGAATTGTAGTTCTGCAAGACCCGAGTGTTGCAAGCTCATCCATCGAGAGCCGCATGTCGTTCCTACGGACTAAGAACCTAACCCAAGAGGAAATCGATGCCGCTCTGTCAAGAGTCGGCGTCCAGGCTGCACCGGGTCCGATGCCGGTCGCTCAGCAGCAGCAACAACAGCAGCAGCCGCAACAATACTACCAGCCATCATACCCTCCTCAGTACCAGGCATGGCAACCTCCACCGCCGCCCCCTAAGAGAGACTGGAGGGACTGGTTCATCATGGCAACAGTCGTTGGTGGTTTCAGCTACGGCGCATATACTCTGGCCAAGGTACGGAACTCCACACCTTTAGGTCTGGGAATGTGAATGACTGACAAAACTAGCGATACGTGGTTCCCCTGATTGCGCCGCCGACACCCGAAAAGCTCGAGCAGGACAAGAAGTCGATCGAAGAGCAGTTCGACAAGGCCTTTGGGCTTGTAGAGCAGCTGGCCAAGGACACGGAAGAACTCAAGGCTACGGAGCAAAAGCGGACCGAAAAGCTGGACACAGCTCTGGAAGACATTGAAAAGATCATGACGGAGCTGAGGAACGCCAACCAGCGACGAGAACTCGAGACACAGCGCGTCAAGGACGATGTGCAGATCCTCAAGGATTCCATCCCCAAGGCTATGAACACCCAGAAGGATCTTACCGATTCGAGACTGAAGGAGGTCAACACCGAACTCACTAGCCTCAAGACCCTGATAACACAACGCATGACTGCCGCGTCATCATCGACGCCGGCCAACGGTCTGCGAACTGGTGCGACCGCTACGCCCGCTTCTCCTGTCCTGAACCGCACCGGTACCACGGGCAACGATACTTCCGCGAGCAGCACCGAGGCCGCTGCCGGCACCGACGCCAGCAAGCCTGCTAGCACGCCGACCTTCAACCGCCCTTCGCCGTTCAGCGGTGCCACGGGCGCAAAGGCCTCTATCCCGGCCTGGCAGATGGCCATGGCCAACAAGGACTCTGCGGCCTCACCAGCAGCGACGAACGGAACCGCGTCCGACAGCAGCTCGCAGCAGCAGGCATCCGCTTCTTCGTAAATGGGCTAAAAAGGGAACACAATGTACAGTATGCATCTATGATTTCATTGCGTCATGAACAGGAGAGCGACGGGTGTAATTGCGCGTGTGGGTTTTGAAAGATTCGCCTGTACAGAGTAGTAAGGTAGATATAAGCCTTGAAGCTAGGTATGTGTTTGCGGCATAAAACATCCGAAAGCGACTTTGTGTGACAGTCTTCCCACGTGCAGAGCCAGAAGAAGCCCAGCCCAGCCCTGGACCGTAGCTTCAGGGTTCAGAGGGGTTGCGACTTTGACTTGTGAGGCTGGCCAGGGTTCCATTGACGTGTTTTACATGGGCTGTTCGCTATCTCGGGTGTTGCCATACTTGTCCCGTAAGCGAGGAGGGTCTCGCGGGGGAGAAAAGGTTTATTGGCGCGGTGTGCGTGTGCATGTCAACATCTCACCCACCAAATAAGCCCGTCTCATTCAATTTCGGTAGGTAGGTTGTTGCCAGACGAGAAGCGTTCAAAGAACACGCTGTCACGCAGTCAGTTTCATGGGTACCTTGGATTATGAAAGACCATTGGCGATATGCAGTTTGAGGGGATCCGCATAGATGTCGGTCAGGCAGAAGTGAGAGAGTGTGAATGTTTAGAGAATTGATACCCGTAGAATGTGAGCCTACAGATAAAACAGCGCAGGTATCTGAAGATCTTCGCAAGCTGGACTGAAATGGGGTGGCGTCGCCCGATGTGGTGTTGCGGGAGCGCGCCTGAACGCCCGGGGGCCCACTGCCGGAGCCGTAGGATTGGGTGCATTTCTTCTTCCATCTAAGCGACGTTAATCATCCGAGGGAGGGGGCAGAAAACTAAAAACGGAGACGTATGAGCATGGGGTTCTAGTGTCTTGTGTGTGGGATGCAGTCTCTCTCTCTCTCTCTCAGTCCCAGTCTCTCTTTCGTGAATCGCGCTTGATTCAGCAACGGGCGCAGATCTCACTCTAATAGTGAACCCCAATTGGAGCTTTGTGCTGCAGCAGCCCATGTCCATCTTACTCCAGCCCACAGACGATGGGTCGGATGTTTGAGAAGCAGAATGAAGAATGCAGGGCTAGGATGAGGGGTATGGTTGAGTACATGACTATCTGAACTTTTGAAAAGTACGGAGTAAAGAAGCATCTATCACTCCAAGATGCCAGCCACCTTGAAGCATGGCGGATAGCTCCGAGTAGTAGCTTTGCGCCTTGAGATAGCTTCAAAGTACATTGCAAGCATGTATCAGTTGTCAAGCACATGGAGGCCTTCGGAGCAATTGTCAAAGAATGTTCTAATGTTAAACACTGACGCATTCATCTTTTCCCTCCACCATCCAACTCTCCAAAGATGATGAGTAGAAAAAAAGAAGAAAATCTCCCAGCTTTGGTACGAAACGTTCCCCCCCCCCCCCCCCCAGCAACAGGTATCCGTACCCAGTCTAAGGTAAGGTATCTAGTCAGTAATTAGAGGTGAGGGAGAGTGTTAGAGCGGGCCGAAGAACAAGCAACGAACATGTTCCACCCTTTTCCGCAACAATTTCCTCTTTCGACCGTCCTTGCGGAGCGAACAACAGCAATCCCCCCGGACCGCCGCTGTCGATGAAGCAAAAGCCAACGACCCTCGTCTTTTTCGCGGCTTGCCGTCCGTCTGGTCTTTGACTCTTTTCCAGTAACGGTATACTCAAAACATGACGCCTGCCAGGCTCATCCCCGCCACTGCATCTGCCATCTCAATCAACAACCTTTCCACGCTTCCTCCCCAAAGGACAGGCTGAAGCTAAAGCCTACCTTTACCGTGCTGTGCAGAAGTTACCAGGCGGTCGATTCAGACTCTCTTTTTCATCCACCGACCACTCACGGCTTCTGGAACCCTTCGCATTGCGCAGGGCCTCCTCCTGAGTGTCGTCCTGCGCGCCACTCATGTTCAATCTTCGCCCTCCTTCGGCCCCTCGGCCTCTTCTAACCCTCCACTTCCTTCCCATCCATCCATCATCGCTGTTGGAATTGCCCCGGGGCCTCAATGGATCAGGAATTTGGAGTGGCCATGAGGTTGTTTCCCAATATGGCGGACCTCCCTCTCTACGGATACAACGCCAGTAGCCTTTGGCACATGATGCAAGGGTTAAAGCGGGAAGCTAACGGCGTGAGGTAAAACTTGCCTTAGACCGCGCATTCGTTTGATGGCCACAAGCGATTAGTCGAGGGAAAATCCCACCAGCCGAGGCACCTTTTATTTTTTTGCTAACCGACATGTCATCGATTTGTCTGCCATTGACCTGAGGTAATTCGCCTTCGTTGCCAACGAAGCACCCCAGCCTCGTTGGCTTTCTTTTATTTTTTCAATACATTTCCTAGTTTCTTACTTTAGCTTATGTCGCGGGCACCTGCGGGCTACCATCCAATACTGTTACATTCGTTTTCTTCTCCATTCTGGTTCTTCCCATCTTCTCTTAGTAGATTGCAAACACGTTGCCGCTTTCCCCACAACAGCAGCTATTCCCATTCACACCGCACACACACGTACACACTCCACAGCAAGCTTTCTCAGCTTTACCCTGTCTGCTTTTCGACCTTGGTACCCTGTTCCCAGAGGCTAGATACTTCTTTCCCAAGGTACCGCCGATCCGTCGGTGAGGTGTGCGTGTGAGTGTGAGTGGCTCCGAATCTGATGTCCAGGGGGTCCCGCAACCAATTCCCTCCTCATCTGAACATCCTGTCGACCCCTAGCCCTTGACCGTTGCGACCTTCTATCGACAGATTGCAGCCTTCTTTTGCTGGCGTAGCGTTTGTTGTTCCTGGTGTTTCAACCACGTCAGGCATAGTACCGTCTTGGCCTCGACCTTTCACTTGCATCTTGATACCATCCTTCTTATATATCCCTTGCCTAGGCCGTCGTCTGCCCGCCATTTCTTCCCTTTCCTAGCCATGTCCCGCTCATCCTTCGACTATCCGAACCCTCTCAATATGGACCCTGCCCAGTTCAAGTTGCTGTTGTCGTTACTGCCCAAGGTGCCTTTGATAACGAGGGTGGCACTGCTTCATGTTTTACACTTGTCAAAGTCGTCTCAGTATCTAGATCTGCGGAGCGACCTCATCATCTCGGTGATACGTTCATACCTTCAGCCAGCCAAATTGCGCTCCATCACATCCACACAGAAGCTCGCCAACCGCGATAGCGGCGTCAAGGGGAGAATATGGGTTGCCACATATGCTAGCCCCGTACCGCCAGAAACCGACGTGCGCGATGCCCTCATCGGAATTATACAGTCAGCCAGGGCTCCGGATACCCCAGAACTTAAGCTGCGGCTGCCGGATATCGTACCAGTGGAGGCCGAGTGGACGGGCTACCGTGCCGGTGCGACGGAAGAGGAGCGGCCACCCGCGATCGGGGAGAAGGACAAGTTTGAAAAGCTACAGAAGGAGGTCACCAGCCCCCTGACGGTGCTGTACCTTCACGGGGGAGCGTATTACCTCTGCGACCCGGCGACTCACCGACCAGCTACGAAGAAGATTGCCAAGTTGACCGGAGGCCGTGTATACTCGGTTCGGTACCGCTTGGCTCCGCAGAACCCCTTTCCGTCGGCTCTGCTAGACGCTTTGGTTTCCTATTTGACTCTGCTATACCCGCCACCCGATGCTTACCACCAAGCGGTCGACCCGAAACACATTGTGGTTGCCGGAGATAGGTGAGAAAGTCTCCAGCGTCAGGATGAGAATGTGGGTTGCTAATCAAAACGCTATAGTGCCGGGGGAAACCTGAGTTTATCTTTGCTACAACTCATCCTCGAACTGCGCAGACAAAACCGAAAGATCCGCTGGCTGGGCGAAGAGAGAGAAATCCCCCTACCCGCAGGACTCGCACTCAACTCACCATGGATGGACATCACCCAAAGCTCGCCCAGCTGGGACACCAACGGAGAATTCGACTACCTCCCAACAGGCGAAGTCTATGCAAAGTACCAACCGCCCCCATGCAACGCCTGGCCCGCGAAACCGCCCCGGACAAACATGTACGCCGACGACGACCTCCTCGCGCACCCCCTCGTGACGCTCCTGATGAGCCGCAGCTGGGCCGGGGCGCCTCCCGTGTACATGTGTACCGGGTGGGAGCTGCTGGCGGACGAGGACAAGTACATGGCGCGCAAGCTGCACCAGGACGGCGTGCCCGTTGTGTTCGAGGAGTACGAGGGGATGCCGCACTGCTTCGCGCTGATTCTGACAAAGATACCCAATGCGCAGCGGTGCTTTGAGGGGTGGACCAACTTTATGAAGAGGGCTGTGACGAACCCGGAGACGATCGATTCCAGGGCGACGACGATCAAGTCCAAGACGCTGCAGGAAGAGGTTCTCGACTTTGAGTCGCTGAGTGCCGTGAGCGCCGAGGACGTGCAGAAGAGGGTTCTCGCCAAGAAGGAGACGACATTGGCGGCTGCGCCAGAGACTACGGCGAAACTCTAGATCCTATCCCGCCGGGATGAAGGGGGTGCGGAAAGGGTCGCGTCGTCGATGGCTCATGATGAGCTTTACGGTATTTTTCGATGAACGGAGAGAGATTATTAATGATTTTGCACATTCAACATCAGACCATGTAATTATTTAAACGCCTCATGAGAAAAAGGAATGATAGTAGGGCGAGCAATTGCACAAAACCGAACAAGATAACTTCGCCGCTAGGAAATGGGACTTGAGTGTGAGTGTGTATGTACTTAACCCCCGGATTGCTGGGATCATCCCGTGGAATAAGCAGCGGACGGATCTCTAAAGCCAAGAAGAGCATTCTTGTCCGCCCCGTTCTAGGAGCTAACATTTCATGTGAGAGATGCTTTTTTGGCCAACGAAACGTGTATCACGAATACGGAGGTTTACTGTGCGCTGATCCACACGTTCGTGACGACCGCAGAGTTGAGAAATGTCCGGGCGTGTTGCAGTGCAGCAAAGTGAGATGGCGGATTTGGTAAAGATCTCACTCACGCACACCTCGATATAAATTCCCCGAGGATGCAGGGCTTCCCGTATCCAACGATCTGATTACAACGAATATTCAGTGATGGCTGGTGATCCTGGAACTCACTCACTCACGGACTCACGGCTGGAGGTT